CTGATAACCTCTGGATCCTCACATTTGGCGCGCTGGTAGTCATATTTGCGAGTATATTTTGATATAATATCATCATGCCGTATGAATCTAGTAATCCATCTCTCGCTGACTGCTTCCCCCTCTCGCTCATGCAGTAGCAGATTTGCCATTTTGCGTACTATAGCATGTGTTGGTGGTAGGCCACGCTCATCCATATCTAGAATCCACTTCTTTAGTGAAGTTTCTTCTAGCCTGCTAAGCTTCAGGCAGTTTGCTGGTATATCAGCCCGTGCTTTGCGACCACTAATTCGATGGGTAAGGGTAGAGCGTGGGACGTCATATGCAGCAGCTGCAGCTCGTATGCTCTTAAACTGGCCATTTTTGAATGCTTTAACTGCAAGGGATATGCGATCTTCTAATTTAATAGTTGAATCTGCTTGTTTTGAGGCCATATTTGATGAAGAACTGAACTTGATGATGATTTGGTGTGTTGTAAGATTCAGGGGTTGAGGTGGTGGCTCGCTCGGTGTCCGATTACGTTAACTAACTAAGTTAGTTAACTAATTATTCCCCTATGATAAAGTAGTAGAAGAGTAGTTAGCAGTGATCTTGTCCCTATCCCTAAATTCTGCAAGTCCACCCCCTATGCTTGACGATGCTTGTCTTTCAGTTCTCAGAGTGGTATTGCTGACAATTGAACATATATGATATATCCCCATACTTGAAAGTCATGGAGACAATCCTTAAATCCTTGTTTAGATAGGAATCAATGTTCCTTCAGCAGCTGAAAAGCACGAGCAATGAAGCGGGCCAATCATACTAATATTATTCATACTTACTTGATGAAAGTCTACCTAGATACTAATGTCATGCATCAAATCAAGTGTGAAGAACACGACATGAAGCGTTCCTGATCTAGCCTACAAATGAGTATTCCCTTGGTGGATGCCCCTGCGTTAGAGTCAAGTTGATGAGACCAATTCCCTAATCCATATTAGCGAGGTGACATTGTGCCTGCACTACTTGCCGTCTTGCTTATTATCTGACCACCATGTCGCATTCAGAGGCACCTTTCATCTCTAGCAATGCATCTGCTAACCTTCAGCTCTTCCAAAAAGGGTAATCCAGGTCCGATGGCAGACAAATGCAGCCGTGATTGGTACGCAGTGCTTCACTGCCCCTATACTTAATCTACGGACAGTGGTTTCTTGAAAGTTAGTGCTGATTCTTCAAATCGTTGGCCGGAGGTCAACAGGCAGTCTTCCAAAATATAAATACTTCAATGTGTAGTGTGAACATCGGCTCCATGGCCAGCACAGACGCTCCTTTCATTCTCTCCTTCTCTCCCTGCCATAGTCCTTCTCCGGGCTGATCTTGTCGCAATGGCGAGATTCGCTTGGCTTCTGACCTTGAGTCTTTCTTTCTCGATTCTTTCTACAGCTCTTCCTGCTGGCACTCATTTGCAAACTCCGACCAACTTTAGCACTTTCAATGTCGAACAATGGGTTCCTTCTCTTGACTATGTTCCCCATAAACAGCAAGCCACCTTTTTTCGCAAGTAGCAGGTCTGAAATCTGACAAGGATATAGATCCATTCCTTTTCCAATTCAAAACAAGACTGCCCAACCCTGGGACCCGGTTACTCATGCCTCTCGTGCGGGAAACCTCACAAGCCATGATAGCCATAAACGAGCAAGCTGTGGAGGTCCAACTCCCGATAGTCCCAGCAAGTTCTGGTATGAGACGATTACCCACAATGGAGAGTCGTCTTTCTTGGACTCGACCTACAAGCACAACTACAAGGTCTTCCGAAACGTGGTGACCGACTTTGGAGCGGACAACACCGGTGCCACTGATGCCTCTGTTGCTATTCAGAATGCTATCAACGGTATCCCCTCCGTCTGACGCCTATGTAGACTCGAGGATCGCTAACTATCATTAGCTGGTGCCTCCAATGGCCCTAACCGGGCTAGCAACTCCATGGGCACCACCGGTCAACCTGCAATCGTTTACCTCCCAGCTGGAACGTACCGGATGGACGGAAGTCTCCAGCTCTTCGTTGGTACTGTCATTGTGGGCGATGCCCTCAATCCACCAACTCTCAAAGCCAGCGCCAACTTCCCCAACGATCATATCGTCTACGGGAAAGATAGCCACCTGGGTGGCACGGTCAACTTCTACATTGGCTTCAAGAATGTGATTATCGATTCCACGAGCGTTGCTGCTTCAAAGTCAATCACCTTGTTGGACTGGACCGTCTCGCAGGCCACGCAGCTGACGAATGTTGTTTTCAACATGCCCTCGTATTCGAACCATGTTGGCGTGACAAGCCAGTATGACTCGAACAGCAATATTATTCTGGTCAGTCTGAGACTACCATGACCCAAGAGTTTTTAATGACCTCTATAGAACGATCTTACCTTCAATGGTGGTGCTATCGGCATGGAGTTGAGCGGCCAACAATGGATCCTCAAGGGCATCACCATCAACGGGGCGAACGTTGGGATCAAGGCCGGGGCATTTGAGCTCGTCTGTCTGGATTGCAATCTCTCAAACGGTGCCACGGGTATTGATGCCAGCGGGATCTCTGGCTCACTGACGGTCATCGATTCCAGTGGCAACTATCTCGGCAACATGATCGTCTCCTCCAATGCTGGTGCTACTGCTCAGAACTCGATCATCCTGGATAATGTGCAGTGCACCAACAGCGGCAGCACAGTCTCTCTTAACAACAATGTCGTCCTCTCTGGCTCGGTGACAAACACCTGGGTGCGTGGAAATCTGGTGAGTCGATCCTCCACCCTGGCTTCTTGCCCCTGCCCGCTCACGGCCATGTTAGTACTCAGGGGGAGCTACCACCCCTGCAAAAGCACAAGGCTCGCAAGTCACCACGGCTCGTGCGAATGTTCTTCTCGCAGCCAATTCCAAGTACTTTACCATGGCACCCCCCACATACTCTCAGTACTCTTCCGGCCAGTTCATCAATATCAAGACTGTGAGCGGTCTTCCTGTTATGGGAGATGGCGCCACCGACGATACGGCGAACATCAACGCCATCTTGGCCCAGTATGCTGGATGCAAGATCATCTACTTTCCTGCCGGTACGTACATCGTGACGGGGACTATCTTTGTCCCCGCTGGTTCGATTATTGTCGGGGATGCATATGCCTCGGCTATCAGTGCTACTGGCTCGAATTTTTGGAATCCTGATGCCCCGACTACAATGGTCAAGGTCGGCAACGCGGGTGACGTGGGCGTTGCCCAGTTCACAGATATGCTGTTTACAGTGGCCGATGTTCTTCAGGGCTGCAAATTGGTAGGTCATCAAGGGTCCTTTTCTCAGCTACCACTAACTGCGAGGTAGGTTGAGGTAAATATTGCCGGTGCAGCTCCTGGCGACGTGGGATTCTGGAACTCGCATTTCCGCATCGGCGGTGCAGTAGGCTCCAAAGTACAAACAAACTGCTACGGCACTCCCGACCAATGCAAAGCCGCCTGGGGCCTGCTTCATCTGACCAGCACTTCCTCTGTGTATATCGAGAACATGTGGGGATGGACAGCCGACCACAACCTGGACGGCAGCCCCGACACAACCACCGTCGCCACCGGCCGTGGTCTCCTCGTCGAAGCGACCAAGGGTACCTGGCTCGTCGGAACGGCCATGGAACACCACACCCTCTACCAGTACAACTTCGAGTACGCCCAGAACGTCTTCTCCGCCTTCCAGCAGAGCGAAACCCCCTACTGGCAGGGCTGGGGAAGTCCGGACCTGGCCCCTGCGCCATGGTCCTCGAACCTGATCGACAGCGATCCCAACTTCAGCAACTGCGACGCCAGCGATGCAGGATGCCGCATGGCGCTCTTTGAGCGCATCCGGGGCTCCTCGAACTTGTTCCTCTATGGAGGCTGCGTCTGGGCGTTCTTCAACCACAACGGTGGATGTACCGGGGACTGCCAGGCGAACGCCGTCCGCATCCTGTCATCCGCTGGCTCGGTATATCTCTATGGTACCAACGTCAAGGCGATCAGCAACATCGTGCTCGAAAACACTGTTGCCGCCGCAAAGGAAAGCGACAACAATGGCGGATGGGGCGGAGTCGTCGCCGCGTATCTTCACAATGTGGACACAAGCTCCAACGGTGGTAGCAGTGGCAGTGGCAGCTCCGGCGATGGCAACAGCGCTGTGGTCACCGGTAACGGGTTAAACTGGTATAGCTCTTCTCTGACCGACGGAGCAGCCGCATACCAGGATCCAGAATATTACTACTGCTTCGGCGGGCCGGCTGCTAATTTCCCACCGTTTGCGAACTGGATGGGCTTCACGGCGATGTTTGGTTTGAACCAGCAAACCTCCATGGCACTGGTCGAATCGGGTCCCATTCAGGGAGATATCTGGAATGCCATCGTCGAAGTATCTGCCGCGGCCAAGGTCGATCCTCGGTTGATTCTGGCGGTGGTTATGCAAGAGGTATGGCAGAACCTCTCACCTCTTCGATCAATACGCTAATCCCTCACAGTCTAGCGGCAACGTCTACGTTGGCTGCACGAACAATGGCGTCGAGAATTGCGGGCTGATGCAAGCCTACGCCGGCTCCGTCTCCTTCGATCCCAACGATCCACAGGGAAGCATCACCCAGATGATCATCGACGGTACCCAAGGCACGGCACAAGGCGGTGGTCTCGTTCAATGGTTCAACAATGACAATGTTGGGGCCGACACCGGTGGCAACCCGTACAATGTGCTCCGTGGCTATAACTCGGGCAGCATTAACTTCAATGATTTGAATGATCCCCAGGACGCTACTGCTTCGTATGTCAGTGATGTGGCCAACAGGTTGCAGGTGAGTCTTCTCTTCGAGATGGAGGAGCATAAGACTAACAAGGCTAGGGATGGAATGGTAATGATGGTCATGGGTACAGAGCTGCGTGTGGATGGTCGTGACGAATACGTGCCGGATCCCAACGAGATAGTACGCTATGAACGAAGATTCCCGACGCTGAAGGTTCCTAGAGTCAAGTGGTGATATCCAGCATTGATGAGCTCACTTATGATTATAATCGTTTGGTGTAACAAAGTAGATAGATCGGATCGCATTTGTTCACCCGGTCTAAGCCACGAGCCGGGCACGATCGAGTATACAGATCGCCTCTTGATTAGACTGATCCCATCTTCGACATTCACCAATATTCAGAAGTATGAGATCTCTTTCTTTCGAACTCTCGCTGCCCTCTGCAAGTCATATTTAGATGAAGGATGCACATAAGCTGCCGTATCACACGCCTGACTCATTTTCAACCCTCACTTAGTCCGAGTATCACCTTGTAAAGGGACGTCCTTGAGCCCCTCATGGGGCTATTGCTCTTTATATCGCACTTTTACACGGTCTTATAGCCCACATCCCCGTGCACTAGTTATCAAGATCGCTGTGTAGAGGGCTTGGGCCTCGGAGATATAAGTATAAGTACATTCTCAATTCAGGTGGAACGGGAATATCAGACCCTTTCTAGCAAGTCGGATGTTGCTGCATTTGGCTTATTTCTCTCTTTTTGCATCACCACTGGCCAATGCTTGCTGCGGGAAAGTGTTCACCCCGCGGTGTCCCCAAGCTTTTATCCGGCAGTGCGGAGACAACCCGGGGCTTAAATTAAGTGACCGGATGCGAGCGAGCCCATATTTCAACTCGGTCATTCGATTGATTTGAATTCGCAGTGAATTCTCTCAGTATATTAGGTCAACGAAAATGCCCGTCTCATGGCCTCCAACGTCCATCCCGAACGAGTTCGGTATAGCCACGCTCTCACTCGGGTACGCCAAGCACCACAAACTCGAGCCTCGATTACGGGAAGCCGCCAGAGCAGGATATCGCCAAATCGACCTATTTGATGAATGCTGGGCGGGGTATCTAGAAGAACACGGTCTCCCCGGTGGTCAACTATGGGAGGCGACTCCGGATAACCTCCGGGTAGCGAAGAAGCTCGGAGACCTGGTCAAGGGCTTGGGCATGCGGATCGCGTGCACCCAGCCACTGCGGAAGATCGAAGGCATCAAGGACCCTGTCGAGCGTCGCGAGACATTAGACCTGGTGGCAAAGAGGTTCCCGTTCATGCGTGCATTCGATACTGATCTCGTCTTCATGTGCGCGAATATCCGCATGGACGACGGCGTGACATCAGACCTCAAGACTGTCGCGAGAGACCTGGCGGAACTTGGCGATATGGCTAAAGCGTTCTCGGATGCGGATGGTGGACCGTTGCTGAAGATCGGGTATGAAGGATTGTCCTGGGCACAGCGGAACACATGGGCCTCGACGTGGGAGGTTGTGCGGATGGCGAACCGGCCGAATGTGGGATTGATTGTGGATGCGTTCAATGTGCTTGCTGTGGAATGGGCGGATCCGTACAATCCTGCCGGTCATGGGCGCATATATCCCACTATCGAAGAGTCGGTGGATGTGCTTTGTGCCTCCTTGGCTGGTCTGGTGGCGTCCGTCCCCGGCGATCGTATTTTCTTCTTTCAGATCGGAGATGCAGAGTTGATCGACCCATCGAAATTCCAGCCCCCTTTGGATCCTGAGATTCCGGCTTTGCTGCCTTGGTCTCGAGGCCATCGATTGTTTCCTGGCGAAACATCGCGTGGGGGGTATGTGCCTACACATCTCGTGGCCGCTGCTGTCCTGGCTACGGGCTACAAAGGTGCATTGTCGCTTGAGGTGTTCAATAATTCTTTGAATCTTCCTGACCCAGAGGTCCCGGCTGCTCATGCTGAGAGAGGAATGACCGGTCTACGGAAGTTGACCGAAGCTGTTATGAAGGTGCCGGCGTTCTGGGAGATGTATCACAAAGGGACGACAAGCGGATTTTCTCGGATTGTGCAGATTCCACGATCCGAGAAGCTGTGACCAGAAGGACTTCCTCTAAGTGACCTACGCTGATAGCTGATTCGCAGACTATATGAATCATCTATTCTATGTACTATTCAAGACCTGTATACTGACCCGGCCGTATGTCATGCGTCCCTTGGCGAAACTCCGACACAGCTCGCCTCATGTCCCTTCCACACATGTATGACTCGTAGAATGGAGATCTCACTGATCTTTTCTCCTATTCGTATGCAAATTCTATTCGATGTAATATTGTGTGGATATCCAAAGCTTTGCGCAGAATCCAGTGGTGATGTCATTTGCCTCTTGTCTGAACCTAAAACCAAGCAATACTCTCAGTATATTTTCCACCAGAATGCGGACAGTTTGGCATACTTGTCCATTTCCCAATGTGAATGACTCTCTATTTCAAAAGGTCTCTGTGAGACTTCATTCTAAATCTCTCAGAATGGCCGCAGCAGGTACTGCATCGACTCGCATTCCCAGACCATCGGCTAAGTTCGTCTTTCTTGCATGAACCAATTCCATGCCATCTCGCGTGTCTATGGTCTTCTTATATTCAAGATGTCGATATTCAGCTGATACGTCATACAGAACACGCAATCGCGCACTCATGAGCATCGCTGGGGTGATTGGAGGGACATATCTGATGTTTATAGCGCTATCTCCAAATCATGATGGGTCTCTTATCTCTGATGAAGAACGACAGATGGTGAGAGGAGGGGCCAATGGGACTCCTTTTGGCACAAAGACTGCAAGGCCACCTCGAAGTACTGCTCATTGAATGTCTGGGTGGTGTACTTTCTGAAAAAATTTCTAGGCTAAGCAAAAGTGCAAGTGTGATTCCAGCCCCAAGTGAGGAGCTATATCTTGAAAGCCCTAATCAAAAGCGACGTGCGTCAATTAGCAGAAATAAGGCGTCTTTGTGAATCCACATTGTATTACCTCTCACGGGCTAATGATGGCACATCCGCTGTGGGGACTTTCGACCTGACAGGATCATTCTCATGTCGGCCTATAGAATGGACTCAGCATCTCTGCGATCAGCTTCGTCTGTAATAGCACGCATTCATCCAGGAGTGCATGATCACTGCCTGGTTTTTCTGGCTGCGATATCCCTTAGATGTTGCCAGTTTGAGCAGATGTTGGCGTCAAAATGGCAAATGAAGCAGGAATTTGCCTCATATGGGCCTGACTCCCTGCGTGTCCATATTGGGTTAGAGTCGTGGGTTGAGGTACTTCTCTAGTGAGATGAGGAGTCAAGGCGCTTACAGCATTTTCTTTCACTTAGAATTTTCTAGACAGATGCATGAAACCCTCTGAGGGGTTGCGTCGCAGGTGTGCTGTCACCTGCAGCTATGGACTTCTGCGTTGTCCGATCTGCTGTCCTGGTTCTCCATTGGAAATGTCAATGTTGAGCACGCTAGGTCTGGAGAACTGCGTAAGCAGCGCTTCCTATACTCAGTATGTTGTTTCGATAGCAGTCACCGGATTAATTCTGATAAAGGTGATGCCTACCGTCTCGTACGTATGCATTTTGGCGAACATGCAGGGTAATTGTCAATCGAGATTAGAATATCTAGATACACATGGAGAATGTCTAACCTGAAACAAGTCATACGACCAGGCCACAGACCTTTGTGCAGTGACCTCACAACGCAGGAATGCAATGAAATGCCGACATATAAATCCGAGTGAAAAGACAAGTATCTTCGAGAAGAAAAGAAAGTATAAAACTAGCAGAGAATCAATCGCGGTGATCATCATCTGTAAGGGGAAGCCGCCCGCTCACGCAGCGGCAACATCTCGTCTCCTCCTAGGTCATGATTATCCGGAATCTTCTGCATGTCCTTGTTCTTTCGCTTTTTGCAGCAGGAACAACAGCATGCGCAACAGAAGACCTTGCGCAGAGGACTTGGTGGCATCCTTGCGTCGGGGCCTTTGATGATAGCCCCCGGATGTACCACGTTCCAAACCGCAATGGCAACCCACATTGGAACTGCGTCGAAAACGTACATGTACCACTCATGCCGTGGAATGGGATTTGAAGCGTCGTTCCCAGAGGAGAATTCCACCAGGCGAAAGATGATGCGCACAGTGATGAACAGCAGACTCGCGTACAACGCATATAGCAAGCCTCTCCATTTGGCCTTTACTCCGACCAGACTTCCTTGGCGATCTAGGTGAAGCATCTGGCGGTGGAATTGTATCGCGATGAACAGGAAGAGGACAATGAAGAATTCCTGGATTCCGATACCGCCCATGTAGATGTGAATACCCTTCATCATCGTGTCGTGGTCCGCCCCGGGTCCAGCCATGCCACCTCCAATCAACTGGATGACAAAGGACCCCAGGTCCAAAATGACAAAGATCATGGCGAGCAGGGAGGGTTTGAAGATGCCTATTCGGCGGTCCGGTACGAAGAAGTGGATCATCCGAGCCAGAACCATGTAGTCGAATGCATTGACCCCTGAAGATGATTAGCATCTACCTGAATGAGAAGGAGAAGGCGAGAGGAAAGGCGTACACAATGGAGACAAAAGAATAAACAATTGAGTGATTGTGGCAAGAGTACTGTCCTGCTGATTCCGCGTACTCAGTGTGCGTGTCACAAACCCTACACATTCCCATGTCGCGCTCATCAAGATGACCCAGACGAACCCTGCCTTGTAAACGGTGGCCTGGACAAAATGCGTAATCATCAAGACACCAAAGAGAACGGAAAAGGCGATTGCAGCGCCAAAGGATGGGTAGTACTGGTAGAGGGCATTGCACTCGGTTGCTGGAACCCAGCCATTCGCATCGGGAGTAACGGTAGGTGTGCAGGTGTTGGAAGGCAGATCCAGCGACAGACTGAAGGGCTTGATCGAGATCTTGGGAACGTCAATTGTGATATGGGGGTCATAATCATTGGTTGTTTCTGTGGCTCGTCGCTGGACACGGGCGATGTCGGTTGTAGTAGGACCAGGAGTGGGAGCAGGAGTCGGCGCAGGCACAGCAAGCACCCCAATTGCATAAATGAGCAATAGAAGAAGTAATGAGAGTTGCATACGCATATCTGATAGAGTTGGTTCCAGCAACCAGGAATGGAAATGAAAGATCGATGATAGCCAGCAACTCAATCACAATAAAAAGGGAAGGTGACACAGTGCGAGATGCATGAAAATGAGATAGAAAGATTAAATAGACGCTTTCCCATATCCTTCAAGGGCAGTCATGGTTTAAAGCTGGATTTGGAACATCGCAATATTCCTTGCTATGTGTTTGTTGTTGTTGCGGCTGCATGATACATACAATGATCCGCCATGCCCACCTCCTGATTCTATTTCCGGAATCAGCAAGGTATAGAGGGTTGCCTGTGCATGTACCTGGCAAATGGACCAGTCACAGCGCATGGCGACAGTTCTTTTCGGAGATTAGATCTATATCAACAGTTTTTATTGGGCCGAAACTCGGTGGTTAAGAGTCAAATAGTCGTGGAGGGGAAAGGCGACATGGCTGTTGATTGGATTCTCATTAGGCTACTGGATTCTTTCAAGCTGTCAGCACAGTTAGATACTAGGTGATTTGCAAATAGGTAGAGATTAGATTAGGCTACATTGCTTGTAGTCTAGCTTAGTTTCAGCTTTGTGTCTAGTATGCGTGGTTAAATTGCCCCAGGATCTGACAGGGATCACGGAATATGGAGGCACAGTGTTGTGCTAACAGAGCGTGCTCATCGCTTGCCCAAAGTCGGCTCTCCATACTCTACAGAGCCTAGCTGTTTATCAATCTTTGACTGTTTGTACTGCTTTACTACATGCAATGCGCTATGTATCAGACCTTTTCTGTATTGATGCCATGTACGCCATAAGCGGCCTCATAGGCCTCATCTGACTGAGAGGTGTAAGCACTAGACGCTAGCATCTCACTAGCAGTACGACTTTCACATTACTAGTAGCCACATCAGACCAGATTATAAAGCCAAGCTTGAATGGTTTAGTCAATCTTAGAACATGAATTCTGGGTGTTGGTATGGCTGTGCAGGTAGACGGTGCTCTCAAGTCACTACAGTGCATTGATCTGACCAGACAGTGCATCGAATCACGTATGCGGATAATATCGTAATTCCTGACACCGATGGCTGGCGGACAAAGTGACTTACAGAGAGGTGAATGCATCGGCGAAAGGGAACATACTCAACCCTACGCCTAGTATACCTGTGGAGAAGAGCAAAGAGTCTCCGGAAGAGCCTGCATTTGGACCCTCAAGGAAGCGAACAGCGGACTGGAGACATCACCGTCTACAAGTACAATGTCTGAGCAGCTCACCCCTGGAATGAGATCACGAATAACCTAATGACCCTGACAGCAGCTAGGGAACATGCTGTTCTACCCGAGAGATCATTGGCCAACATTCTCCTACTAACGACTGCGCCAGTGATGGTCTGAATCCGAGAGATTTAGTCCCGAGCACAATTAACGGAGTAGCTATGACTACTGGCTAGGATTCCGGAGTAAGTCTAAGGAATCGTAAAGTAATACGTAGCGAACTGTGCTACTGTTAGACTACTTGGCTACTCTATCCCCGGTGTCCATGGCCCAGGCAGCGGACAGTGTGGCGGTGCCAAAAGCCAAGTCTCTAGGCCAAAGAGGATCCGACGGATATGGTTAAGCTTACCATTGGTGCTGGTGAAGGCTCGGAGCTTGGGCTGTAGGCTGATTATCAACCAATTGCTGCTTTTCAAGATTGATCGTTGGGCGCTCCAATGATGTTACCAGCTTGGCTTGGAAGATGGCAGTATGTATCATAGGTACTATGAGTATTGTTAGTTGATGTAACAGATTACTTTCATGCAACGTACAATGCCCCAAGGTTTCTGGTTCAGCTCAGTCACCCCCTGCAAAGGTGATTAAAGTCGCGTTATAATTTCCACTTTGATAGCCTCCGTTCATCCGCTACTCTTGCACAACACACAGCCAAGCGAAGTCGACCGAGTCTACCCCGAGAGTATCCAAACAAGTGCAACTGGACGCATGAGTGCGTTCTTTCCCATTCGACATAAGATAGCCAACTATAATCGAGTCCTCCGCCGAGAGTGTCGTTGCAGGTAGTCCGTCGGAAAGCGACGCGTCCTGCTTCGCAACATATCCGCCCGCTCTTGCAGGGTCATATTGGCCTGCTGCGTCCCCAGAGGCACCATACACTTGGCGAGATACTCGTAGTCCTTCTGTAGCAACTTGACGGTCAGCATCATGTAGTCGATGTTTCGGAAGATGAGCGCGTTTTCATTGGCGTAGCGGTCTCGGTCTTTCAACAGGGCTACGGGATGATCCCGCCAGTGGCGACGCGGGTGAAGATGGTGTGAGGTGTGGTAGCCGTCATTGAAACAAAAGCGGTTACTCTGCAGATGGTGTTATCATCAGTTTGTAACTAAGGAGCTGAGAGACGCAAAGACGTACCGCAACATCGATCAAAGTGATGCTCGAGCGAAAGTCGGATGCAGGATCATCAGGATCCACAAAGGCATGCTGTCCCCAATTGCCCGCCATCAGGCCCAGTCGAAGAGTCAGCAGTGGTAGGATAAATACGCAAAAGGCGGCGCGGGAGTTGACATATCTCCACGTCAGGTAGATAAACATGTAGTTGCTCCCCTCCCACAAGGCCGTCTTGAGGGCATACCTCCGCTTTCCCGTCCGCAGAAAGTACAGGGGCAGATCCAGCCAGATGAGGAAAAAGAAGCGGCCTACATAGCAGGCAAAATCCTTGATTGAGTCGCGGTCATACCACATGGTCGAGTTGAGGTCTGCCGGCCCGTTGCCCTCGACATGATGATGCTTAACGTGGTGGTAGTAGTATGAGTTCCAGGTGTGGCCCACCAGCGGATCCACGAGGTAGGGAAATAGTCTGTCGAGCATCTGATACTTTGGGGCGAGGACGCCGTTCATATGGACATATTGATGCTTCATGAGTGTGTACGTGCCTGCGAACCAGACATGCAAGATCCAGTGCAGCAACCCGTGGATCCAGGTAAAGTGATAGCAGTGCAGCCAGATGGCGCTGGGAATAGATATTCCGAAATAGATCAACAGATGAGTGAGCATTACCACGTCTGTAGGGTACCGGACGATTTCTTGAGCCCAGATGATATAGGGATCGAGGGCATATTTCCGGACGAACGGGGGCAGTTGGGTGCGCAACTGATGGGTATCCCAGAACTGGAAAACAGTCGGATCAAACCCTACTTCCTTGGGATTGTTCAGACACTGTAGCATTTGGACCGTTTCGGATGATTTTGATGTTTTGCCTGCTTGCATCAGTTGTCTGTTGCAAGATTGGGACCCTGGATACACACTCTTTGCATCTTCATTCTTGAGAAGCTCCTGCAGCACCAATTGGTCTGGAAGTGTCAGATAAGGGTCAATGAATGTCGAGGGATCCATGATAGTACTGTGCGGACAGCTGGATTGTCATTGTGCAAAGCAATTGTCCCTAATGAGCAGGCAGAGTTATATATCAGGTCTCGACATCGAAATAAAGTAGCCAAGATGTATCCCAACTTAACTGAGCAACCGATTGATATCCAAGACACATTTCTATAAAAAGGCGAATTGTAGAGGAATCAGGGGTGCCTGGAAGCTAAAATCCTTAGGTGTTTCACCGTCTCGTGAACAGCCACAGAACACAGCCATTGTCCATTAGATGGTTCTGTAAATCTAACCAAAGAGGGAAATAAATTAAACGAGAGAGATGTCTGTACGAGAACTCGCAATAGAATAGGCCGCAGGGTTATCAACATCACGAAAATTGAATTAAGGGAGCTGGCTCAAATAGGTAGCAATGTGTTTAATAGACACTTAGACAGGAGTAGTGGACTAAATATCAACACCAACGGGTACATAAAAGGGAAGAACAGGAATAAGAATGCAATCACGTTTGTGTACCAAGCAGAGTCTGAGCCATCTCCTATACACAAGATCCATCCACCAGATCCTCAACAGCAACATGATACCCCTCACGCTGCCAGTAGGCTGCTAGCAGGGCAGTCGCAACTGAATCACCGCCCACAGTGATAAAGTCTGACTCAAGATTCAGTAAAAGACCTGGGGTCCAGGGACACGTCTCTAGCTGTCGTAGATTGCATTAACAAGGAATACATACAATCTGACATACATACATACATTACTATACAGAATACCTATATACAGACCTATAACGCAGTGGACTGAGAGAATACTGTGTTTACATCGCAACCTTCACGTAATTCTCGAAGCAATATCTGCACCATTCAAAACTCAGTAGGAAATAAATGCTGATATCTGTCTCTTGGTACTGTGCATATTTACTCCTGGCTTAAGTCATGCAGCCCCGGTGAGGATACTTCTTGGCCCTCGTGCTAAATGGTCTGCTCGTACTTGCCAGCTTCAAATGGACTCTGCATCTGCAGCGACTAACTCGGTCTAATGGTCCTTCTCAGGCTCAGGGGTCTGGGTAGCATTCAAAAGGAAAGTGGCTCCACTAGCTCTGTTTGTCTGAGATCTCAGGATGGAGACTGCATAGCCATCCCCTAAAAGCCCTGTTGTAATGGTGCTGACCTCCAACGCGTGTTCCACTAGTTTGCAGCGTGGCATGGCATCTGGTCTACATTCTATATACACCGGTCACTCCACATAAAGCACTCTAACAGCATGACCAACATCCCAGCTGTAGGGATCACAGAGTAGTTGTCGCTATCCATATTCGGTTTTGGGACTCATGTCCGGTGGTTTAGAGGTCAGCAGCTGTCTATCCCGCTAATAGTAAGGAGTACACTTATGGAGTATTGTTGGTTTCTTTGGAGATTGGTTTCATTAACATATACGAATGTGCAATATTAACAGGCCATTGCTGTCATACGGGGTAGTGGCTATCATGTTATATGACCCAAGTCTGGTGGTAGGATTTAGGGTTAGGCGCGTTCTACCAGTATGCATCTGTTTGTAGTTGTTAAAGCAGGATTATGATTATGAAGTCAAAATGTACTCCACATTATAACTTCCAGGCCTGCTGGCCCAATGGTAAGGCGCTTGACTACGGATCAAGAGATTGCAGGTTCGAATCCTGCGTAGGTCATTGCTTTTTGGTTTTTTTTTTTTTTTTTTCCTCCGCGCCTCCGAGACTAGGCAAAATCATCACAATTCGTGCCATTCTGCAGTCAAATCAGAATTTTAGGTAGAGTAGTCAATACTAGAGTTTAAATATCATTACAGCCCTATGGAGTGTCCCGAGGATGCCCTGGTAAGTCATAGCGGAGTGTCATTGTGTAAATGCTACGCAGTTTATATATCTCCGCAGCAATTCAACACCATCTTATCCTGTCGGTCTTCGGGAAACGGCCATTGGGAAAAAGTATCTCTTAGTGCTTGAATGTCACAAATAATTCATTTGAACTCACTTTTTGGATGATAGTCCCCAGAACGGGACTGTTGGTTAGATCCAGAATGCCTTGGATATACTTCTTGGAGAGCTCAAAAGGATTGGCGATAAGGTTGGGGTATATTTCCCGATTAGTCCACGCGGGTCGAGCATCGCCTCGGAGATATGTCTTTGAAGGAGATAGCGGAAGGAATCCACCCCCGGACGTAGAAGGCTACTATGGAAAGGCACATTGACATTCAAGGGCATCGTGGCTCGGCTTCGTTGCAGAACCAGAGGCTGCTTTGCTGATTCAAGATGGGTCAGAGTCTTCTGAATGAAGTTCTGCATCTCCTCGACACAGGAAGTACTCAGTGAGCCAGCTGCGATTGCATTCATGAGCGCCGAAAGGGTGGCCAACCCACGAAGCTGGAGACATATATACATTAGTTCATTGATACTGCGGCTGAGACATTTGCAACACTCACATCTCCAGCACAGATGTATTGCATGTTAGCAACGTTGTAATCGACAAGCTCGAGGAGTCTACGAGTGTTACGCAATCTCAGCCACACACCAATGCAGGTCCTTTTTGCTGGATTCCTTGGACACACGAGTCGGATTGACAGCGCACATCGAGTAGTCCGTGGCCCCATTGGCGTCACTCTTGACGGCATTCTGCATCTTCAGTCCATGGTAGAAAACCAGCACAGAGACTTCCTCGACGGTAAAGATGTTGCCCATTGCGGCCAGCGCCACATACTCATCCAGCGAGTGGCAAGCAAGCAAACCGTCTTCCTTGACGATACCTTGTCACGCATGTCTTCGAATCGTAAAATCACCATAAGGGCCAAAGCAGGCTGCGGGAACTGCGTCTGATGAAGCAGGCCGTTGGTCGATCGAAACGTGTATGATCGAGTTGGTGCGGTGATATCAGAGAAGACTCTTGGAAATCACCGTTCCATTGTCACTCACTGCGTCGAGCTTGAGAGAGATATAGTTCTCGCCAACTGCACGGCCCTTGACTCCTCCAAAGTATACCGTCAGGGTCTTTGGATTGTCCCGGACGATATGGGTAATGGAAAATCCTAGGACTAGTCAGATAAGATGACTCTCAATGGAGTACCAGAGGCCTCACCATATGTTCTTCATATGTTATCTCGAAATACTTGTCAGCGGTTTGCCAAACCAAACGGGCACCTGCACTCTATTTGTCGAGTTCTATTCCCATGCCCGGCTGCTGGCTGCCTTGGCGTATAAAAACATATGCCATCAATGGCTGCTCTATCATGGATTGTGCTGAAAGGACCTTAATGCCTGAACACACGTTGTGTACTTAGATAGAAAGCAAGAGGTCGCCATGCAACATACCTAAATGGTCAATCTCAATGCTCAGTGTATTTCCAGGAAAGATCTTGCCTTTGAAGGTGCACGACAGGACCGCACTTAGGAGGGATCACTTTATGCTACATAGAATTTACTAACCCACTAGTGAACATTCCATGAGTTACTTGTGTGTCATATCCTACATAGCTAGCAAAGAGCTCTAATAGGTGGGTTACAGTCACCAGAAGCCTGCTCATATTGCTCTGCATAATCCAGAATAGTGACCTGCAGGTGTTTAATAAGAGCAAGAGGGTGAGACAGTGGCTAAGACTAGCTATCAGATTAACTACTGCGTCTCTGCAGATAGTCCGTCACTGGATTCTTGGTATAAGAGTCACTGGAGAGGTTAATAGATCCCAACATCAGAAATGTCCCAGTTGCCAGCTAATAGATGACATACCCATCCATAGACAGATATGTGTACATATCTGAGTCCTGAAACCAGTATCAGCTTATAACCTAAAAATCAATAGTTTTATGGCGGTATTCATGCAGATTGATTGTTTTATTTAACAAGAGCCACCACCATAACTCCAGAAGAGCAATATCCTTGTTTGAGGATATGGTCAGGTGTAGCTTCTCCTCCTCAACTGAAAAGCATTCGCGTGGTCTTTATTCTCACCTAGAAGGACAAAAGTGCTTCTCACCTGAATTACAGGAGTGCCATTACAATGAAGCACTCCCTCTACTTGACCACCTTGCCAAGCTACATCTAATCTTGATTAAGGTCAATCATGCTTCTGGGGAGAGACAGTCACCTTCCTTCAACGACTTGGTGCTGTTAAAGTACTCAAAACTATTGCTGGGATGCAAAAATTAAAGCTCTACCCAGAAAGGGCTGGTTATGTTGCGCTGGAAAGACTACTAAAAGGTCCATGATTGCGACTCCTATTGACTGCCTAACATAATTATAAGACTCCGGCGAGGTAGGTTAAACTGAGATCGCCTTCCTCTTTGTGCTGTTTCAAAGAATGGCTTGCTTAGAGTGAAATACAAACTGGCCCGGTAGTACAAAGTAGATGGGAGCTTCTCTCCACTAGCTATGATACGAATCCATGAGTTGATAGGCTTCTTCCACGATCCATAGAGTCGATTTTGCTTGCTTTAGCAGTCCTTAGCAGTTGTAGAATAGTAAGTACAGCTAATCAACCAGATAGCCAGAGTTCTACCAGTTCCATTAGTCAAGCAGGGCTTTATATGACATGTAGCATTGAGGTTGGCCAACATTGGTGGCTTTGCTTCCATCAACGTCTTGGATAATTGTTCTTGGAGAATCTCAGAGAGAGATATAGCTATTTCAGACGTCCAAGTATACCCGTCTTAAGTGATACATTCTATTGATCTATTATCTACCTGAGCTTATGTTGCGGATGCTCTCAAGTAGAGAACTGCGAGAGACGCTCTTCGATCATGATAGAAGACTTGAACGCATGATCCAAGGGCTAAATCAAAAATCGAAGATCTGAACGTCTTGCGACTCTCATACAGTGTAACGGATTGTCTCCCTTCCAGACTCCTCCGATATCCGTCATGAGGCTTTGGTTGCCCCCTGTGCTCTAATCTGATCCTCAGTCCCTTCTCTTCCCCGACGCATATCCATTATAGACGACCAACTATATGGAAGGCTAGCCACGTGGTACTGGGTTGCTGTAGGATCAATTCTATCAGGGAGGTCTAGTTAGGGCTGATTATCAGCTCATGGTAACCTGCGAAGGCAGTCGTCTCATGGAGATTTGTCAATCATACAGCTTGAACGAGAACATTAGCTCAACTGTTATATTATTATTTACAAATACCACAATTTCTTCTCTACTCCAACCCAAATGAAAACTTAAACATATCCTTATTGTCAAGCAACATAAACGATTCATACCGTAGTCCTCTTTCAACCGCCGGCCGTTCAACCTCGCGTGTAACATTCGACGAGACTTCGGCCCATCCCTCCCACAGAGCTCTCCAATAACATGCCTCAGCAGCTTGGGTTAGGTATCGTTCTCGGAAGGTTTTGACGTTGTTATCGGCTATGCGCTCTGCTTTCTCCAGATTCTTTAAGAGTTCGTCCATTCGTTTCGGGAGATCGGAGAAGTCTCTCTCAACTTCAACGTAGTTCTGCTCCGGACCGGAGGATACAAGGAGATAGTGGTGATGTTGGATATACTGCAGCTTATGTGCAACGACAACGGACCGGCAGGCTTGACGGTACTTGAGGGAGGCCGAGTAAGCGCGACCTGGATATAGATGTATATCTATTAGCCATGTGCAGCAAAGTTGAAGTGATAACAAGAAAAGCGAGGAAACGTACCTTCAACATGCCCAATAAACATGTATCGGCAATGATCCTCCATTGTTAAGAAGTTGGCCTTCTGGCTCCAATCTAACTCCTTCACATCACTCCAAGGCTCACCTCGTGCAATGTCCAAGAGTGCCCGACGCAGCTTTGGTGCAAAGCTCAACTTCCCCCGCCAAACTATCTTCTGTTGTTTATCCGCGAATCTCAGCTCGGATTCAGCAGCCATGACGCGCTCTACGACCTGCCCATATGGGCCGATGTTACTCTTGGCCCAGGACCAATACCCGAAATCTGGCATTAAAAAGACAGACTCCTCGGATACTCTCCTTGATAATACCCAGACCGGGTGGCCAACAGCGTGAACGTCATCCACGCGATCTTCGATTGAGAAGATAAACTCGATTGTGGGGTGAGAGGTACGATCAGAGGACGCAGATAGCGCCCGATAGATAGATCCTAGAGTAGCAAGGATCTTGCGCCGGTGGTCATCCCCCTTTGCTTTCGTCGCCACCACATACAATTCTCCATTAGAGATGATAGCGCGGGCCATGCCATCTTCGAATGGTGTCGCGCTCAGATCGTCTATTGATATGCCCCCTCGCGACCTCCAATACTCGACTCCTCGGTGGATGTCCTGGAAGAGACCGGGGAATGATGCCTGGCACTGACTCTTGCTCAAACCCAGGTCCTGGTCGTCTCGCCCGTACTGGAAACTCCAAGTTGAAAGGCGTTCCGGTTCGGTTGACGGCGGTGAGGCAAGACAGGTGAGGCAGTCCGAGCATTGAAATGAAGTGGATGATTGGCAGGTGCAGTGGCCTGCTGGGATGAGTTGTGTGAGTAGCGGGGGGACATTATCACGGTCTGAGTTCATTCCAAACCACATCAAGTAGGTGAGAACACCGCAAGCACCCATGGCACCTGCAAATAGCATCCGCCGAAGGGAACACCAGCTGTTCCATGATCGGTGCATGGTGAGAATGATGAGAAGGACACCTGGAAGAGGTAAGGAGTACACCAAACCCCAGTGGGTAGAAAGAGGATTGAGCAGGATGGCACAAAGCAGGGCGACGGCAAGAACCCCATTGTCTCTACCCACATAGGTAGGGCGATGGGCCTTTGGCCCCGAAAGGTAAGGGTAGGATCCCTGACCTGTCCACCCTGCTCAAACGTACGATGTTGACGGGGAATGTCATTCACTTGTGATAGTGGAGGTTGGAAGGGTTTGCGAGACTTTCGACCCAACAATGACCCACAGGATCATCCCCCCTAAACCCAATTGTCATAAGTTTTAGCCTCCCGGGTAGTAGTAAGTGATCTAGTTCAATTATTTTGATCCAATCCACGCTCACGATCAATCCAGGGTCCTCGGTGTGGCCGAGTCGGAGGCTATTGATGCGCCGATGGATGTGACAACCCGAGACATCTTATGGGTACTAGCTTCGATGCGAGCGAATCGTGATCAGCAAATGGTGATCCACAGACTTAAGCATGAATCCCTGTAAGCAGACTACAGCCACTAGTTAAGTCCCTAGTAGGCAGAGAAGACCGACTAAATGTGCGATTATTATAACTGCACTTTACAACGCGGACGTACTCCGTCACCCGGTAAAACTTCTAAGTCTTTCGCAAAAGGCAGAGCCCTTGCAGTCAACGTCCCCTTCTGTCAAAGACAGCAAAACGTTGCCGGTGTTCGCATCGGAGGGTTCCGTTTCAACCATGACGGATTTCTCGGCATTGAAGAGGGAGAACTTCTCACCCCTAGCAGCTGGACCAGGGACTGCTGCTGCAATGGTGGCCAGGACAGTAACGGCGTAGACGGCGTTGTCGAGAAGCTGCATTGTGGTGCGTTTGGATAAAAGGGCGCTTGGTCAGAGGGAAAGAGAAGGATGATATGGGTTTTGGACGGTAGTAGGTAGAGTTCCAAAGTACGTTGATAGTAAAGAAGTCGTCCCAAGGCAGCGAGCATCGCCCCTTTTATGTCCTTCTAGCTTCGGAGAACCCCGTTACGTTGCACACTCGACTGATCCTGGAGTTCTATTTCCTGGACAAGTGTCCAGTTTTCCATGGGCTCAGCTCGTGGATCCTCGCCCCTGGGGCCGAGAATTGGGTTCTGGACATTGGGGATAGAATATCGACAGAGCAAGTGTGACATCGCCTCGATCGACGGGCGTGCCAGCGCCGATATCAAGCATAGGTGGACATGTGATAGACCCAGACGTTCCAATTACATTGCTGTTCAGAGTATTCATTTGGTTATGGATACCGCCAGCGTCCCTTAGCGGCAGATATTCCCATACCTAACAACCCAAACATTGGGCGTGAAAGGGCGCGGAAAGAGAGTGCCGTAGTCTGTACAATATGGTCTGAGGTATCTCAATCAAGTACTGATCCTAGCATGGAGCTGCCTTGCCGGGAGATGCCCACGAACACAGTGCTGGCCATGCTGAGACATATGACGGAAGTTGTGACCACTTTTGTATATCAATAACTGGATTGGTATCAGACCCTGGTGATAATGTAAGGTAGGTGTCGAAGCACTGTATCTTTGGTACCAGACTGTATATTTTACGCTCGCTTGTTTTGCCTATTCTAGTTAGACTCAGTTGACCAGAACGCACACGACTTCTGGTCTTGTCGCTCATTACATAGAAAACTACATACATTCATGGACACAGCATGAATATGTCCCAGTTTGACCTCTACATGCTCAGATTACCAGCGTAATCATATTACCATATTACCTGCAATCTGACATAATGTTTACTAGATGATAAGAGACTCCTGTGGCAGGTTTCCATGGAGCTGTCGGCTGGAAATGACGAATCCATTGTGGCATGTCTATCACCTTCTGTGTTCATGGCCTTCTATTCTCTATAGTTAGCAGGAGTCCTATGAGGCAAGGATTATAGATCGTGCACTGTCCTTCTTGTACGATTGTACCCTTGAACGACTCATAGACCTCCGAATGTCTCCCTGTCTCGACAGCTACAGCCTGAATTGAAATCGCACCTATATGAGACGGCCCCTGATCCAACATATTAAAGATTAGATGCAAAGACAAATCCCTCTTCCAAAACACGCTGACCTTACCTCGCTCTTCTTTCCCAAATAACTGAAGCTGCACGTCGTCATGATGAAAGTTATTACCCTTACTTCTCTTGGACTTGCCCTCTCTGCAGCTCTGGGAGCATTGGCCAGCCCGGCTAGCCCTGGGTCTCTTACATCCAATGGCTTAGATGTCAGGAATGAAAACAATGTTTAAATCCAGTACCCCGGAGTAAGTGTCTAAGGTTCCTTGGGGTACGAGATGAAAGGTCTGATTCTTTTTAAACCAGGAGTGCAATCCAGATACTAATTAATACCATTATAAATCACAAAATGGCCTGCCTGCTATCTGTCAGTGCTATTTCAAAAGGGTAACTTGCCCCAGAACCCGTTACTCCAGGCGACGATGCTAGCTTCTAGACACAGTGTACCAACCAAATTGAGGACAAGTCCTGCTATTTTGACTCTTACGATAGAAAGTGCACCTATCAAGAGAAGGTTAACTGAGGCGGGTAGTTCTGCTGCTGGGTTGATTATGGGCCACTCAGGGGGTTTCATACTATTAGAGAAACACACAAGCTTGCTGCATTTCAGTATATTTTGTCCCATTTTTCTCTGCTATACCAGCATTGATCATGATACGTCGTCTCTAATGCACTGGTGTCCTGTTGTAACTCCACCGCCGCTGAGATGTTTCCAGAGAAACAGCTTTTTAACTCCCAGTGCGTCCAAGAGCTAAAGACACATCATGACTTTATCCAGAATGCAAAGCCCTCACTCTTCCCGTGGGTGGCGCCATGAGTCATGACCAGGACTCGATGGCAACCAAATTGGAAGCGATAACTTAGCTCGCAGTTTCCAACTCCAGGAACCCACTAGGGTAGTGAACGAAATAAAAGAAATCAATATAGGCTGGCACGAACTTGGCGAATGAATCGAGATCCTACATCAATACCCCTAAGTGAGGGCCATATTTTGATGCGATTGCAGGGATATTGTCTTGCTCAGACCCTGGGGTGGAAATATTCGGCGCACTACAGGGCCAAAGTCTACCAAGTCTCACCAGGATGCCCCTCACTAATCAGCGTGTTTAGCCTCAGATATTCAGTCATAGACATCCATGCCTTCTTTTGATCCCAGTGGGTCTCCTACACCAATAGTATACGGGTCTAGTCTGCAACCAAAAGTTGCTGCCTGCCATACAGCTGGCATCGCCCTTTCCATGCTTTACCCCTCAGCCTGCCCTTTTCGTAAAAGACATATCCATTCTCTCATCTCATTGCTGTTTATCTCTTCTACACTCATCTCGTTTCCTGAGATTCACCCTCCTCTCCTATCCATACTATCAGCTCATGCAAGATCCTGAACTCAGGATGCATGACTTACTAAGAGATTCACTAAGCTCGCCACTAAGGGACAGTCCTAGCCACTTCACTGCAACCAGCGCTCCAGGGGATTGGGTGGATGTGCAGGAGGCTGCTTGGCAAGGGCAGTTCGACCTCCTCCGATCAGTAGCATATAACAGGGCATGGATTATTGGTCAAAGATATTGCTCGAGTGGGCATTCCATCGATTTCTGCGAGCCGTATCTGCGTTGTCTCTGGTACGTCTATTACCAATGCAGCAGACATGTCTCCCATGAAAGCTTTGAGCAAGATAGGTGGGTCCTCGACATCCTCCGTACCCGGGGATGAGGACCTCTAATGAGGCTAGCACCGAGCGGTTGTGGCATTGATATTGCTAGAACTCCCGATGGAGCTGTCTGGAACGACCTACCCTTCCTTGATACGGACATGACAGATTTCTGGGTCAACGACTGCGTGGCAATGGGCGCAAAGCAGCGCCTTAATGCTGCATCCTTCCTTGCTAAGCTTGCATCCACGCGTGTTGCGAAAGATAGGCTTTGCCAGATTGCTCTGCTACTTTTTCGTGATACGTTTGAGGCCGTGCGGCCTCTTGGCAGCTCTAATGAGCCTGATGACGAAGATCCTCGCCGAACAATGCATGTACTTACTATTGCCGCCTTGCTCCCATCTGCATGTGCCTGGATCCGAGAGGCTGGGCATAACATCATACTCTTATCGGATGTCTCATGGAATGATTGCTCGAGCAGTACTATTGGGAAAGGTGGTTTCACTTTTGTCAAGTCAGAGCTGGGTCAACGAGTACCTGGTGGATTCAGTCCCTGGAGATGGCTATACTGGTTTAAGTGATTACATGAGATCGCTGATGAAGCAGCAAAAGCTGATGAGATGGGCCTTGCAGAGCATGCCGCGAAGGCCATTGATATTATGTTAGGTAATGTTAAGGAGAGGAACTCTCAGATCCTAAGAGTGTTTGAGTCTGCGGGCGATGCTGTGCACCAGGATAAAGATCTTTTGGGTCCGAAGAAGAAATGGTAGACACAAGCACAACCAGACTCAGTGGGATCTTGCTGTCCCAGAACTATGTGTTTTCTTTTTTCTTGTTTTTGCTTTTGAGACTATACGATATGTCAATCAATATTGCGAGTTGCTATTCCCATGCAGCATGTTTCTACGCCCTGGTATATGATATAAGGACAACATCAGTAATTAATAAAGTAAATACACGCCTATCACTCCCAGCGACTCCGTACATGACCTTGAGAATTTTTGATACTATTTCCTTGTTTACTGTGTCGTGGTTGGTAGTTTCGACGGTTTGATCACCAGAGTCTGAGGCCACTATCTGCCCTTTACAGATCGACTGAACCCAATCTAAATGCCTGTTTATTATCAGTAAACAGTAGACCTAAAGAGTTTTGCTTGATTCTAACCTGGCATTTTATTTCTATACATTGTTCGGCGGGATTGTCCCTCCCTTGGTATTTAGCTACTTTGCTATGACACTGTTATGACTTCTTTTATATCCTGCCTTCTTCCGCCCGTCTCCCACCCGTTTCTTTTCTTTTCTGCTCCTGTTCCTGTCTCAAAAAATCACCTATGTTTAGCTACAGGTTTCCATTCCTCCTTGGACTGGTTTAGTTGAATCGTCGGAGAAACAATGTGAACAGGGGCGGTGGCTGATATTGACCGAACTGAACAATAGGATCCCACGCGAGAACAATAGGAATGCTACCAAGCGAGTCAGTATCCTTGCTAATGTTGGCATCTAGAAGCAACAGCACTCGTATATCTGTCTGGATAGGCACGATGTAATCAAACATGTCTTGGCTCTACCAATCCCGCCCCTGGAATATCCCCTAGCACGGAACGTGTTGTCTGTCTGTCGTGCAGCATTGGCGACGATCACACCCGTCGGACATAAAAACCGTCAAATAGGATCGAGAATAGAGAAACATGGCACCCAGGAATCTAAGCAAGGGGATAAACGCAATTTGCATATGACATACATATATTTTGGTCTAAGTTGAACGGTTGCTGTATGCTTTGTCTATATAAAGACAGGCCAAGGTCTTCAGGAACCGCTCAATTATGATCCATGCTAGGAATGGTTCATTCAAAATGAATTCCTGGATATCTGTCTTTGTGCAATCCCTGGTTTTCTGTACCACTGTCTCTGGGATATCTAGCAGACAGGATCCCATGGTCAATGTGCAGCCATCCGCTCAAGGGGTTACTTATGAACTCAGCAATGTCACATACTTTGCAAACACCGAATATCCCAGGGCAATTTTCAACTTGAACTACGACAGTGCTTCCCGGCTTGTGCCAGCGACAGTCATTCTGTCGAATCAGAGTGTGGTCACCGGTAGCTATCTGAAGGCTACCCTTTCGAGTTACCTGACCTCAGACGATGTCTTCTCGGTCGACTTCCTGCACGCAATCTATCTCACATCCACTGTCTCAAAGACTAGATTGGACTCAACAGCAGAGCAATATCTCAAAAGCCTCGGTGCGGCTCGTCTTTTATTCAATGCCAGCTCTTTCGAGCGTATTCCGAGCAATGGATATGCGTTGAAGGACGACCACGCCACATCCCTCCCGCCAGGTCCGTTTACCATCCTCATCAACAATGGGTCCATCTCTTTTCTCGACACTTACTGGCTGTATGAGGACAACTTTCGCACCTTTATTGCTGGTGCATATCCCTCTAACAACGGCATTGGTTCGTTTGCTGCGCTGCCTGCCATGAATCCACGCCTCTGGGGCCCACTGATCCCTGTCCCCAGCCGAATTCATTCCTGGAATGACAATCGACCCCTAGCAGGTAAACGAGTCGCCGTGAAAGACCTTTTTGACATCAAAGGCCTACAAACCTCAGCTGGAAGCCAGGCGTGGATTCAAGTCACCCCGATCGCCAATTCGACTGCTCCTGCCATTCAACGATTGATTGATCTTGGAGCGGTGATAGTCGGCAAGTTCAAGCTAGCTCAATTTGCGTCGGGCGCAGATCCGTGGGATTGGACTGATGAACAGGCCCCCTTTAACCCCCGGGGGGATGGATACCTGACCTGCTCGGCCTCATCATCTGGAGGGGGATGTGGGATCGCTGCATACGACTGGCTTGACGCGGCAATTGGGACAGATACGGGCTCGTCGATACGTCGTCCTGCTTCAGTATCGGGGACTTTTGGCAACCGTCCTAGCCAGGGTATGATGTCGCTTGATGGTGCTGTTCCCTTGAATGCAGGGGAGGATACTGTCGGGGTCTTCTCTCGCGATCCTGTTGAATGGGCCGAGTTTGCCAAAGCATGGTACGCCCCAAGCCTGCATCAAAATCCCTCGATCAATAGTCTGCCCCCTCTATCAGTACCGGACACAACAGCATTTCCGAAGCGGATCTTATATCCAGTGGAGTATCTCCCTCTGGCAAATCCAGCAGCGCAGGCCATCCTCGAAAACTTTCTTCACCGCATGGCAGGCGTATTTAACATGACGATCGAGCGGACTAATTTCACCACGACAGCCAGCAATGCATCCATCTATCCCCAGGTCGATTGGGACCCTTTGGTCAACTGGAATCTCTTATACGACGCCGCGGCGACGCTACAGCTGTGGACCCAGTCCACCAAGGTCTATGGACCCCTTATCTCAACCTGGGCTGCGAGGAATGAAGGTCGTTTTCCCCCTGTCGACCCGCAATGGAGGCAAGCGTGGACTGGGTTTGATGTCAGCCATATCAATCAGACTGTGTTCGAGCAGGCCTTGCAGACAAAAGCCGCAGCTGTCAACTGGTTCCAGGATGAGGTCTTGTACCAAACGTCCGACTCATGCTCAGAGGCTCTGATGATCTGCGACGGAGGCACTGGAGGCTTGCCGAGTTTCCGTGAGGAGGATTTGAACAATAGCCCCAATGCCAGCTTCATGAATGTGTTTCCAAAGCATGCAGACGTGTCCTGCAGCGGTATCTGCACTTTATTCGGGTAAGGAGCATCCTGCGCATATCTGAAGGCATGCTGACTGCTGTAGGTGTGTGGATTTCACCATTCCTCTCGGACAGGTTGACTATTACTCGCCAGTGACCATGGTGACGGAGCAGTGGCCGGTGACGATCAATATCATTGCTCGCCGGGGATGCGACTTTATGCTCTTCAACATGATCAAGAAGCTGGCGGAAGAAGGAGTGCTGCGATCTGTCAAGACGGGAAGGACGGCTTTCTAGCATCATATCGCAAAAGTCTATAGCTATCATATCGCACCACCTCGTAGACTCATGCGAGCGAGTTATACTTCCTCAACAGCTCTTTGACTTGTCCGCACCATGTCCCAGACTCCATTGCAATTACTTGGGCTGTTTTTCCATCGCGAGTTCTCATTCCCGTCTGTAGGTTGAATGTTGTAGCACCTTCTCCAACAGCCATGGCTCTCCAAGTTTGGTTGCATAGTGAACTGCTGCCCATGCATCTCCTCCGTACACATCGCCAACATCGTCAGAGTCAAGAAGAATTGCTGCGCTTCTCGTACTCCGTGCTGCAGTGCTTCGATCAGCGGAGTGTTCCCGTCCTGGTCTTTTTGCTTCAACAGGTGATGCTCGGGCATAGCTAGCATCTGCTGATCTCGAGTGCGTAGGCCAAACTCTGCAGCGCATTCGACTCGACCGCTGCATGGATGATATTCGCATTGAGGTTGGACTGGATGAAGGGATCGGCTCGCGCGACTAGAATCCTCATCTTGTCTGGACAATTGGTCAGCGCGGCCCAATGCAAGGGTGTCCAGTGGAATTTCCGGTCCCTCTGGTCGAGGAGATTATGGATCACTTTGCGCGTGCTGTTCTTTCCAGCGCGGACACGCGGAACTGCTCGGTGATGGCAACATACAACGGTGATCGTTTTTGACATCTGGTCTTCCATCGTGCCCAGTTCGTTCCGGAGGAGCATTGTTCGCCTTCGGTCGCTCGGAGTCGCTGGCGTCGTAGAGATCCAAGACAGCGATGTGGATGGGGGTGAATCCAAAGTCTTCGAGGTAGTCGTTGTCTTCGGCGAATATGCGCACAATCTCTTTTTCAACTTCGGCCGCATCTGCAGTCAGTGACTTTATGCTAGATCGACTGGTTTTCTTTGTTGAGTCAGTTTTGGTATCATCCCTGCAATCGTTGAGTTGGCGGACCTAGCTCCAAGGTCTGTGGCTTCGGTATCGACACCAATGTCGCATGAGATATTTCACGGTCGGCAATTGTCTTGCGTAGACGGCCGTCTATGAATGTTAGCATTTGAAATGCTGAAAAAGTAAGGGGGGTGGTTACGTGTAGAAGAGACCATCCATCAGGGGCCGTATCCCAAGGCGTTGCCTCCCGGGCTGGGATGCACATCTTCAACTTGTCTAGGTTGCCGTGTTTGACGTATTGCATTGCATCTGATCCTTCTAGCACCATTCAATCTGTGTTGAGATTGTATATGATCCTAACTTCTTGCATAGACGCTAAACATGAAAATGCTCGATAGAAGAAGGCGGATGGTAAGACTCGCGTCTATAAGGATGTTATGCCTATACAGTCCGGCTCAGAGCATTTGATCTGTGGACCTTTTGATTGCTTGGAGATGGGCAAGTTGAACTTGGAGAAGATGTTGTTGGAAACCTTAATGCTTCGCTGGTGGCATCTGCAGTAGCAGTCAAATCGACAGGCGCGGCGAATCACCAAGGCATCTGTGTCAACGCTCCTAGCTCTATTGGCACGCAGAGGACTCGGTGTCTGTATAGCTTCATCTTGATCTGGGACAGTGATCGATGAGTCTGACTCATTGAGCCTGGAGAATATGGATGTTGCAGCCGATGCTGCTGAACTTCCGATGCTTGACCCAGTCGATGAAGAGTTCCTTCGAGGCCTATTCCACACTCCAGGCGCTAGGAATGAGCTGTCTGACGAGTGGTGATACAGAATTTTGCATAGACGCTCCCATGTTTTCTCCCCGGTATGTGAAGCAGAGGGAGATACCGCTGGTTAGTTGTGTCTCTCGCCATCTCTCCTGCAACATTTGAGCAGAACTCGAGAAGCTGAGGGTTTTGGCTACTGTGCTACACATGGCTAACATCATGTCCCTGAGAGCGTATAAATTAGTATACGGGTTCAGAAGACGAACATTTGTGCGACCGAAACAAACTGTGCAGCATTGCACACTGACCCTTGATGCGGTCATCAACCTTCTCCATGCTCGACTTGTGCTGAACCCATCTCATGCGTCTGATCGTTGAGCTCTCTGACATGGAGATCTGTTGAAGTCGCTTCTGCAGGTCTTTCAGCGTCGCGTATCTCTCGTCAGTGCCATTCTTCACCGGTTGAACAGAGATCTGGTGGACAACTTGACGACTTCGGAAGACCCGGTCAAAGCCCTTGAGATTTTCTTCGAAAAGTGATAAATGGTTGAATCAATCTGCTAGCTCGCGCTCGCCATCCTTGAAGCTTCTCACCAGCTGGATTGCCTCTCCGGTGACAGTGATCAGGGTGGCTATTGAGCTAAGGGGTCCAATAGTGGTGATCGGGTCCATCCTTTTGCTACATTACGACCGGTTCTTCAACTAACTTTGAATCCTGTAGTTCAGACGAGTAGGGTCCGGCTGCGCAAGGGAAGGCATGCGCGGCGTTTGTAGGCGTCGGAAACCTCCTCTGGCCGGAGAGCATGAGAATGGTGAAATGTATGGAAGGCATCTCTTTTCCCTGTAAGGATACTTTTCTGCAGTTCTCCAGGGATTCGGACAAATCCCAAGCTAGCTTATATAGTGTGCCTGGTCACAGACAGACTTGGACATTGACCAGTGAAGGCTATCCCGAACTCCGTCCAACGCCGTTGAATTCCGGTCCTTTTCTAGGCGTGATGGGACAGGTTTAAATAGGGGTAGTAGCAAAAAGAAAATTTGAAAAATAAGAGGCACGATCACTTCCTGACAATCTGGTTCCTCATTCTACGAACACGGATTTGTGAGAATGGACACTTCAGCCGAGGAGGACAAAGCTGAACGAGGACGAGCAGCATACATCGCTCAGTTTTCGACAGCGCCAGACAGCGAAGCAGCGACTGAAGATGAGATCCGGGAGCTGGAACATGTCGCAGCCAGACTGCCGGCGCGGGTTTGGCTTGCCGCAACGATTGGAATGGCGGAGCGGTTTGCGTACTATGGCACACAGACTCTCTTTCGTAAGTGGCAGAAGGTGTTTGAAAGTGGTGCAGAGAGCTGACTTGCTGATGCTTGAATTCTATAGAGAACTATCTCCAGAACAGTCCAGGTGACCTCATACCCGGTGCAATAGGATTAGGAAAGTCTCATGCTACAACGGTCAACTTGGCTTTCACAGTTGCGGTGAATCTGTTGCCATTGCCAGCATCGATCCTGGTTGATGGACGTTTAGGGAGATATAGGTCTCTACAGATCTTCACTGGGTACTGGTAGATTCGATTCTGCATGCTTGTTCGGATGTGTTCTAACCCACATGGCTTGAAGAATCTACGCTCTAGGGTCTGCAATTTTGTTCGGCACCTCATTTCCCTCGGAAATGAGGAGCGGCGTTGCTCTTATAGGGTTCATTTTGGGAAGCACCCTGATTGCTGTGGGACTTGGAGGTGTTCAAGCTTCAGTGCAGCCTTTTATTGGTAATATGCTCAGCGTTATGTTCACCCAGTTCGGAGAGGACCACACTCACTGCTTGCCCAGCGGACCAATATACAGAGCAAACTATGCGAATAAGAACCAGGAAGAATGGCCAGCGGGTGGTAGAAAGTCGCGAAGTAACTATCCAGTATATCTACAATGTATACTATTGGTACGAAGAGTGGATAATGCTTTCCAAAGACAGATGGCTCTCTACTGACTCGGGATCGTCATTCTAGGATGGTAAATGTCGGCTCACTGGGAAGCATTGCCACCACCTTGATGGAGAAGTACATTGGCTTCTGGTCCGCGTATCTGCTGGATCTGTGTGCCGTCCTACTTGCGGTGGTGATTGTCCATTTGGCGAGACCAAAATTCGGTATGACACACGAAGGCATTGTCGTATTCTCAGTTATTGTGAACGATTGCTGATCCCGAGGGAGTCAACAGTCCATCCTGTAGCACAAGGGTCTGTTCTTCCCCGTGCAGCTCGCTGCCTATGGTATGCTGCCCGGGATGGATTCAGCCTGGACGCCGCTGGGCCAGAGCACCAGTTAGAGAACCACCAGCGAGTGGTACCATGGGACAAGGAATTTATTGCTGAGCTTCGGGGTGCGCTGTCTGCATTCAAAATCTGGTACTTCCTCTCCAATACCCATTCCCAAGTTGTCATCCTTTCATTCGATGTAGCTTCTAACGGCAGCAGCATTGGATGGCCCATTTTTTGGGTATGCATGGGACAGGGCGCTCAAGTCTCAATCTCGCAAGCCGGACAAATGGAAACCCACGGGATTCCCAACGACCTGATCAAATCGTCGAACCCAGTCGCCTACGTGGTCTTCGGCGTGCTTGTCCAAAAACAGCTCTATCCTCTCCTCCAACGACGCAAGATCCACTTCAGCCCCGTCAATCGCATCAGCCTGGGATTCTTTATCATGTCTGTGGCAATGGCGTATTCTGCAGTCGTGCAAGCAATCATCTATCGCTCTGGTCCATGTTACTCCCACCCACTGTCATGCGCCGCGTCTGGCGGCCGCACTCCTAACCAAGTGTATGTCCTGCTTCAGCTGCCGACTTTTGTGATCATCGCCCTGGCCGAGGTGTTTTGCTGGCCGACCGGATCAGAGTACACGTATTCGCATGCCCCGAAGAGCATGAAGTCGGTTCTGCAGGCGTGCTATATCAGCACCGCCGGAGTCGGATATCTGTTAGGAATGGCCTTGTCGCCTCTGGCTCGGGATCCTTTACTTGTGGTGCTATGGTCTGTGACGGCGGCGATGATGTTTGCGACTGCCTGTGCTTTTTGGATTGCATTCCGGAAGGACTAGGTGTGTTTATTTATGCTCAGGGGAGGTAGCATAAAAGAATAGAGTGGTAGTACATGGATGAAGTCATGCTTTACATGAATGGATAAGGTTATCATCTGAGTATCTAGATGTCAGTCTCTGTACTCAAAAGCGGATCATGCTCGGACGGCTGTGGTATTTGCGCCTTGACTTATGTGGATATGGACAATAATGCTGTACCATGATAATGAGATATTCCCAAGCACAAGCTTTGTAGCATTTCCCCGCGTGCCTGACCAGTCTGCTTGTAAGGAAGTATCGATAACTAGTAGACGGCCCAGCTGTAATATGAAACTCACTCAGAAGATCAGGCTTAGTAATAGCTTCTGCTTCAGACATATTGATAATCAAAGATGGGGAAATAAAGTTGCTGAGGAAGTAGTGGACAGATCAATCCATCTGAAAGCCAAGTCAAGAATAATTCGTCTTTATGTATGCGGCGACATGCTGTAACTGATTCAACATCCATATCTAATGGAATAATCTCATGTGAAAAGGGTGCAGTACAAGGTTGGTCTTGCTGCTCCTACTGTGTACTCATAGCTTGTGCAAAGCATAAGAATGGTAAGCATAACATGGAGTATCCTCTACTCCAGTAAGAACCAACAGCACCAGCCATCAGCCAAGTACAAGGGACGCAGGCTGACACGGAAGAGATTCCGCTTCTATAAATTAGCATCATTGCCAGGCACCATGTTTTTCCACGGGTCCCTACTTTCACTGGCACTCGCTTGACCCGCCATCCACGCTGTCAACGAGTGATTCTTACTATAAGACTAGAGCATACGCTTGGTGCACTAATATGCTGCTGATGTCTGCTGCGTATATTCATCTTTCTTTACTCTGCCAGGGAATGAACCTAGTCACCGCTGGCGTGTCTAATGTCATAAGAGCCCCAATATTACGCTTCAAGGACTAATCTTAATAAGATTGCCGCCTTTACAGGTAACGTCAGCCAATGTTGGTCATCTTGCAATTCTGCTAGAGGAGATGCAAAAGAGTGCGTACATTGTAATGATAGTGGGCTTAGTAGGGAATTTGGTACATCTTTGGAGCAAAGAGAGCTGTTCCTAGGGCGATCTCGCAGACAGTACGACCTGACCGGATGGGTTGTATGACACTGCACTCGGTGCTCACCGTCTCTTTAATATCAGCGATGGTATTCCTAGCGGTATCATTTCAGAGGTGACTTTAACTTGAATAAACCCATCGCAAAAGATGAGACCGTGAAGGAAGCATTTTGTCTCTACGAAAACAAGGTAGATCTGGAACATCATCCTTAGCATAAGTAGGCCAGGGGATATGAGCCGAACAGTCGAACAGAGTGAAAAAAATGAGGAAAGTCCACGAGATTAATACACTAACACTAAATGTGGACCTAGCAGGTTAGTCCAACAAGTCAACTAGTCCCTTAATGGGCAGATCATTGCCTATTTCTAGCTACAACGCAAGGCTGAGCCCGTCCGCAAAAACTCATCACTCGCTAGATATGGGTGGTACGACCTATTCTGGGAATGATCTTGTAGTACTATGGCCAACCGCATCAGACTGTAGTACAGTAGAAGGCTATTGACATGGCTGAAATGAAAATCAATTGCTGGAAATCCTTCGGTAGTACTCCGTAGATAGCTATCCTTGTCGACTCCATTTGTAATAGTCTCATTAGGCCCAACAGCGCCCGGACCGCGTGGCTTAGAGCAAGAGCATTTCCATTGGCGAAGGATTTCAGCTCGACTGCTTGATCCCTGCTTATCGACAGCCTCAAAGGTTGAACTCCGGAGGTACTTAATCTTATGTGGTGACGCTCTTCCGCTGGCAGTGGCACAGTCCGCTTTTTCTGTCCTACACCACAAGGGCATTATCAGAAGCATAATATAGCAGCAGTTTCCTGGCATTCCTTGTATTTCTTGCATTATGATGCCATCTACAGTCGCTTCCATCCATCACACTCCCTACTGTCGCTTTAGATAATTCAGAACTGCCAACATGGCGTCCGAATCGGAGCAGTCGAAGCAATATCTTCTGCCTCCCTTGTCCAAGTTGCTTCCTCAAGACGACACTACTAAGAATAATAATCATAATGATAATGCAGATGACTCGTTCCCAAGCAAATCATGGAACCCCTTTGACCGCAGTCCTTCGCCCGACCGCGACTATATCCGCTATCAGCCGGCCTCTTCTACAAACGACGCCCTCGCTTCACCACCGGCACAACGCGAGACCACATTTGGCTTGGGAATCACCAATTCCTTCCCTCGATCCCCCTATAAGACTCCTGATGATGCCGACGACGGCGACCTCGCGACCAAATCCCTGGATCCTGAATCCTCGGAGCCCTCGCCATTACAGTACCAGACATCGCAGACTACCTTATTGCCTCATTCGCCTCCATACATAAAATGTCCAACGCACCAGGGAATAGTCCAGCGGCGATTGTCGTGGGTTCCCATTACAATCTTGGTTCTGGCGATATACTCCACCATCTTCTCCGGGATCTACCTGGTGCTCGCTCTTGTCAGACCGCGCTATGGCAAGAAGATCGGTGAAGACGGTGGCCTGGCGCCTTCCACAGCCAGTCTACTCAGTGCCTTGTTCGCCAAAACGATCGAGCTCGCGTACGTGACTGTTTGCGTGGCGTTCCTGGGGCAAGTCTTGAGTCGTCGGGCGATCACCAAAGGGTCGCGGGGGATCACTATCTCCGACATGAGTATGCGTACCTGGATCATGCAGCCAGGCGCTCTGCTTGTGCATTGGGAGACTGTGCGGTACTCGGCGCTGACGGTGTTGGGTGTGATCACTTTGACCGCGACCTTGGTAGCGATGTTGTATACCACAGCAGCAGAAGCGCTCGGTGGGTTTGTTCTAATGGGAAACAGAGGTGCATACTGATGATGATAGTTGCTCCCAAATTGCGGATGGGCCCCATCGAACCCCGGACCCTGGTCGGAAACGTGTCCACCGAATTCGCCAATCCGTTTTACCTCAAAACCCATTGCTCGACCCCAGTCACTCAGGCCATGGACCCTGAAGCGGCAGGAAGTACCTGTCTGGACATGGAACTGGTCGGGCAGGCGTACCACAACTACCAGGCATACATCGCTGCGTGGAGCGACCTGGTCAAGAGCAAAAACTCGACGTCGTCACACCTGGCATCGCGACTGCCCCCGACCGGCTCTCTATACGATAATACCACCGTGACAGGAAGCTGGATCGACATTGGCAACATGACCGAATTGTCGCTGAAGCACGGCCGAATGGTCAACAACATTACCGCCGCGATGCCTCATGGAGGAATCATCGCCGCCGCTATCAACCCGCGGAATGGCATTCGGCAGCCGGTCGATGTGACAGGCGAAGGCAACTTCGAGATCGAGGCCTCCGTGCCCTCTCCGGCCATCAATGTGCTTTGTGTTGGGATGACCGCAGAAGAGCTCTCCCCCCTGGTATACAAGATGTGGCCCCAGGGGCACAACTTTGACCCACTGACATGGGATTTCGAAGGATACAAAAACATCTCCAGCGACTGGTATAATCGAACGGTCGTGGATGATCTTTTCGGGTGGGATCCCAAGTCCAAGCAGACGCCTCCTGTGTTCGGCAAGTTGCCCAAAGCCAACAATACCATCACCAACACCACTGGCACCTGGCCCACGGACGCCATTTACATGCTAGGAGCAGCACCAAATGAAACCATGACACCGCCTTATGTGCTGTGCGCACTCAAGGCGAAATTGTCCTCAGTGTGTTCGACCAAGTATTCGGCGGCCGCCAGTGGGGCATCGTTTGGAACCAACTGCGAGAATCCGGCGAACCCGCTTCAATATAATCATCGGAATCAAAGTGCCGTTGACGGTGTCTGGGATGGCAACTGGAAGAATCTGGCCGGCGAATGGTCCAATTCATTGAGTTTGAATTCGGGCATCACGGACGGCCGTGCCAGCAACGCCCGCCTCCTGATGCAGTTCATCCCGGCCCTCGATAATCGAACAAAGACCTATTCGCTTGACCCCAAGCTACCATCGGTTGGAGAAGCGCTTGCGGTCCTGGCAGGCAGCACCCTAATCCTGGGGTCCAGGAATGCCCCTTTTGTGCAATTCTTCAACTACACCAAGACCGATAACGTATCCTATGCACTCGCCGAGCCCGTTCAGCAATACTTTGAGGCCACAGTTCGCGCCGTTGGATATGCTTCTGGGGGCACGGAGCAATGGCAGAACCTGTTCTATCTGATCCTGGTCTTTGCCTTTCTGACAAGCGCCATCATTCTGGCGTTTATGCTGTTCGAAGTGCGTGGGCGACAAATCACCGACTTCACGGAACCTCAAAATCTGTTCGCCTTGGCGATGAACAGCCCAGCCACCGCGCAGCTGCAAGGGGCATGCGGGGCAGGACCGCACGGTCGTCAGCTCAACGAGCGGTTCTATGTGGCCATGGAGGAGGAGGATGAGCACTACTACATCCGGACCAAGGCCGAACAGCATGTGCGTGCGCCGTCGATGGGACCCAGTCGCTCCATGGCCTCGATGGAAGTCGACGATGCGCCGAAGGGTGTCAGTCCAGCCATGGATGAGTACCGGCGGCTTTCCAGCAGGAGCAGTCTCTTGTCGAGATTTTATTAGGTTAAGATAAACCTAGGAATGATTTTTGATGATGACGTATGTAATGTTAAAGTCATGTAGTCTCCATGTGAGGTTTAGGTTGATTCCAATTGCGGGGGATATCATATGTACAGTAGCCAAAAAGCCACAGGCGCACCGTCGATGAGTCTTTTTGTAAATCTATGAAATGAGATCCATATGAATCGCCGGTCCTTCACCTTACAATAGTGGTAACTCATAGGGAAGTCGAGATCAACCCAAGGACAGACAGATCTGGATAGTAGTATGCGCCTTGGACGATGCAGACACCAGGAGATTAGGCAGCTCAAGGGAAATTTAATCAGCGGACAGGGTCGAAATCCTCTGCGGTAGCTTTTATTGTCCGTTCAAACGGCAAGATAGCGTTCTGCAGCGCACCCAACATATACGGGTCTAAGCCCCAATCACCAACCCACTGATGCATGCGGTACCCTTGCTTGAAATGATCGGCGAGATGATCTCCTCGCGCTGTCCAGGTGGGCAATGACGCATTGCAGAATCCACAGCGACTGCGGACAGCACTCCCTGCACTACGCCACTGATCTAGATTCTCAATGGGAATTTTGGTACATCCATGGAACTTGCGCAAATGCTGCCATAGATAATCCTTCCGGCTGAATGAACGATCTGCCACGGGCTTCTGCGCACATATCTCGAACTCGTGGTCGTTCCAGTGATCGATAGATGGCGGACCATGATTGCAGAATCGACATTCCGATGGTAAGTTGCCGGGTCGGAGTTCGTTGACATCTGGGGTGCAGATCCATGAGTCGAGCTGGAGGTGAACGCTCCTCTCGTGTCGGAGCCAATCATGCTTCTTTTTGAAGGACTGCGTGCAGAATGTACATTGGTATTGCCCTTCGTTCATTGAGGTTCTAGGCCGAGTTCTTCGCCGGGTCCGCGGACGTGGGTGATGAAGCGGAAACGGTAGTGAGCTCTCTCCAGACGGGTGGCTCCATGCGGATGGAATGCTTCCAGTCGAGCTCTCTGAGTGTCTACTTCCCATACTAGAGACGGACGAACCGAGATGTGACGATGTCTCCTCGAGACTCAGGAACGAACCGAAGACAGCGGCTTCGTGTTCTGAGGCAGATGCTACCTCACTAGAAGAGATGGCATTCCTGATGACTGATTCCGGTACTGCTTCATCTTCTGGCGGTGAATTCTGCCATCTCTCCATCGGTGTCATGAGGGTCAGCCGGCTCGCGGGCATCGGAGATCCAGACCGGCAGATTTGAGCGGCTGGAGGAGTTTCAAATCTCTCCTTCTGGCGACGGCGTGCATTGGCAAACCATGTTGACAGGCGCTTTCTTGAGAATCCAGTCTCGCGAACTAAGCGCACTTTCTCATCTTCAGAGGGGTATGGGAAATCATGGTGGTCGTGAAACCATTCCTTCAATATCCGGACACCTCTTCTGACGAACTGCTTTGACTCCTTCTGCTTGTCTGCGCAGTTGATGACTGGTATCAATGTCTCTGCTTGATCTCCCTACATCCATATTAGCAATGTCCGATCACATATCTGTCACCACGTACCCCGTCTTCCTCGAGCTCGGTGACACCATGCAGGTGGCCCATCACGGGAGACAGGGTCTCGAACCGTGATGGTTGGCGCTTTTCTCCACGAGCCAGGCTGCACTCGCGAAATAGAGCAACACAGCTGGAACAAGATGATACTGGATTCGGATTGGCTGGCGTGGTACGGATGATGAGGCACTGCAGCCGGTGTTTCCGGCAGTAGCTGCAGGGCTGTGGAGGGCAGTAGGCACCATCTAGCCACTGAGTGACATTTGACAAGCTTTGCGAGGCAATAGTAGCATTCTGAGTTTGCATTTCCGACCGTATATCCTCAGTCTTTGTTGAAGTAGCAGCTGGCAATACTCCAGGGTCCTGCCTTGCAGGGAACGGAAACAGTTGCGGCGTCTCTGGGACATTGGCGTTGAGCCAACTTAGCCACTCATCATTTGCAGACTCAGATGACAGGTAGTACATGTCATTCACCTGGTTCATATCAAGCGTTGAATCATTCTGAAGGCTGTGACTGAAGTCAGTGGCATCGAATGTGTTATCGGCATTTTCCCATGCGTCATTCTCCGCTGGACCAGGAGCAGGATGTGAGGAGAAGTGTGAGAAGGAATACAGGTAATCTGAATGATCCATTATGCTTATTGAAAGACTGTAATCAAATACTTGTCATTAAGCGCAGATCGAGCCTCGATTACATTCATTGAAGATCACCCATTCCCCTCTCCACGAGACTCGTGAAAAGTCATGTGATTCCCAGAGGGTTAGACCCAGCTCAAAGCGGTTAGTCCGTAATTATGTGTCATGTGACTATATCACGTGTCATCGTCCCTGGTCAATTGCCTCAAAAAGCCCAAAACAAAACATGAGCTCGACACGCCCATTGATATCCCTGGTTCCAATAGTACATGCAGTGTCTATGTTGTAACTTGCCATTCGTCTTCCTTGATCTTGGCAAACACTTCGAGGAACTCAGGTGGATCCTCCGCCCCATCCAAACGGTGCATTTCCTGGATGACATACCGTGGGACACCAGTATTGCCTGGCTGCTCCTTGTTATTTCGAGAATGCTCATCTACAACATCTCCTGCTAGATCCGAATCAAGCCACTCATCCACTTCGGCCTTGTCTAGTCTAGCATCCACTGCAAGCTCCAGAAGCACTTCCTTGGATGAGATATCTTTTTCCATCTCGTGATATGCCTGGAGAATGTTCTCGACCAAGGCGTTCTGAATATCAGGAGCCTTGGTCGGGCTAAGATGCACCAGACTTGGTAAATGCCAACAGCACGTCCAAGTCGGTTTATCCGGTTGAACAACGAAGTTCGCATGTCCCTCAGCCGCTCATCAATCAGGTCGCTTTTGGGCACGCTGCAGGGATTTGAGTTGTAGTTCAAGTAGTACGGGCTCCATTTGATGGAGAAGACGTCGGATCTACCGCCAGGATAGCAATCCACGCATTGGGAAGCACATGAATACCCTATTAATTCGAATTTCAAAGTACTGTTGCAACATCCCGGCCAAATTATGCAAGTTCTAGGACTGATACAAGTTCCATGCAGTCTCTCCAGCTTACGCGAAGGTGTCAGTTCTATCTCGGGCTGATAATCCCCCAATATTGCTATAGGATCTGTAGCATGGAATAAGTACCTAGCACATATCTTCATGATCTATTAACTCTGCCGTTTAATGCCTGTGAGTGGCAACCGATAGCACCCATTGATTTAGCTGCTCGCGGATAAGCAGCCTGTTTTTGTATGAGTACATCTATTTTCACAGTTCCTACATGTCTCAAATTCATTGACACATCAAGGAAATGTCTTCAAGCACAGAATTCTTGGATCAACTCTTCGAAGACTCTGGTCATCCTTTGGAGACTTTCGACTTCCACCCATTCCTCCTTGCTGTGTAGTCCCGCTCCTGATGGACCATATACGATTGCAGAAACTCCCACTTCACTCAATAGAGCCGCATCACACCAGAACGGTACGCTGACCACTTCAGGATAGCTCCCCAGTACCTCAGCAGCACATGCTGCAGTCTTTTGGACTAGAGGGTGATCCGCTGAGAGCTTCTGTGTCGGACGCGAAACAGTGAGGCGCGGCGGAGCATATCTGAAGCGAGGATTCGCCTTTGCAATATCACTTAAGAGAGTATTCACATCCCGAAGTATAGACTCGTCGGATTGAGCAGGAATCGTCCGGAACTCGATGGTGATAGTGCATCGATCCGGATACGAGGAGGGTTCCTGACCTCCCTTGATCAGCCCGCAATGCAGAGAGGCCTGTCCCAAGGTATCGTCGATAGGCAGCCCTTTTTGATACTGCTCTAGAGATTGCAAGAACCAACCCGCTTGAAGGATGGCGTCTATCCCCGCTTGAGGATCCGAGCCGTGCGCGGCAACACCGAGAATGTCCACTTCCACCCACACGAACCCTTTATGCGCAATTGCGATTGCCCCCATGGTGGGCTCAGGAACCACTGCAGCATCTGCACGCCACCCGGCGGCAATAACATCGCGAGTTCCCTGGGAAGCATCTTCCTCGTCTGAGACAGCTGCCACGATGACATCTCCACGAAGGGTGCGACCACTGGCTTTGATCGCCGCAAGAGCTGCCAGAGCTGCTGCCAGTCCGCCCTTCATGTCCAGACTACCTCGTCCAAAAATCACTGGCTTGCCCTCCTTCTCACCCAGCTGGCCGGACAACGGGTCCTGATCGTAGCTGGTTAAAGTGACAGTGTCAATATGACCGTTGAACATCAACGACTGACCGCCGCCACTACCGCGCAATACCCCGACGATGGATGGCCGACCAGCGACCGGCTCGATGCGATGATACTCCATCCCACGATGAGCGAACCAAGCAACAAGATAGTCGGCGATCTCGCTCTCTCCCACACCATCAGCTACGGAGAGTGTCGGGTTGGATGAGTTGATTTGTGTCAGGGCTTGCGTCAAACCCACAGGGTCCTCGACTGCCACATCGCGGGGAAGGGGGTACGGACGGGAACCTTCAGTGCAGAGGAGTACCACCACAGAGTCCCTTTGGAGTAGTGATGCGGCCTGGCCTGACGCTTTCAACCGCCGGATAGCAGCCAGGGATGCTCCGCCACAAGGACCAGCGTGTACCGAGTGAGATGCCAAATACTGAACGGCGCAATGACTCTCATACGATGAAACTGTGACTGCAGCATCAATGACTCGCTGCAGGTCGGGCCACGCAGTGGCTGACACCGTGCCACAGTTCATTCCATTCATGATCGTTTCTGAAGACTTGACTGTGACCATCGTGCCAGCATGAAGGCTGGAGATCAGACACGGTCCGCTGTCCGGCTCAACAGCCACGACAGCTATTGGGCTGGCTCGAGACTTGCAATGTCTGACCGCGGTATGCGCCAGGCTTCCGACGCCCACAGGGGTAACAGTCAAGGTGCTTTGCAGGCCAAGCTGGCTGAGCCGTTCATCGATCTCCGTCATCATTGTCGAGTAACCCTCTACGATCCATGCTGGGACCTCCTCGTATCCATCGAACGCGGTGTCTTGAACCAGTAGTCCACCGTCGTTCCGTGATGCGGCCCATGCCTCCTGGACTGCTTGATCGTAGTCGCCGTTGCTGACGACCACCTCTGCGCCTTCGGATGCAATGCGGTTACGCGTCTCCTCGTCCATCGATCTAGGGACGAAGATTCGCGCGGTGACCCCGAGATGCCTGGCCATAAAGGCGACCGCTCGTCCATGGTTTCCTTCCGTGGCTGCAAAGAGAGTGACTGGGCTCCTCCTGAGCCGATCCTTCACATCTTCAAGGCACACTGTCGGGGACAGTCCCAGATGTGACACCACAGAGCGATAGCACCCCCACGATGCGCCCAAAACCTTGAAGGAAGGCAGTCCGAAACGGTCGCTCTCGTCTTTGACGAAAACCGCCTTGACTCCTAACCCGGCTGCAATGTCGGGGAGTGAAACCAATGGCGTTGGACGGTAACCAGGAAGGGAGTGGTGGAAATGATTGAGGCCTTGGATGTTCGAGAAATCGCAGCGCTCCTCCGCAGCCGAGGGATTAAAGTATATTGGACGACGAGACATCTTTCAAACACCGTTGCAATAATTAGGCGGAATATGCATAGCCCTATTTGAGTAGCACCCTGTACATATTTATAGATTGAATATCTTGAGCTGTCTTGTCAGTGGGTCTTTGTGCCTTCTGACGACAGTGAGTGAGCGCCTTCTACGAACATTCTTGAGAGTGGGGACTATCGGCACAGAAGCAGAAAAGCCAAACAGAGATGAAATGTTCTCTGGTCAATTACTATTGCCGGCAACTCTGATTGATTTGGATATGTCCCCTTCTAGTTGTGTTGCAAAAGAATCACTAAGGTTGATGATGGTCAACCTGCTCTTACACCATCAAGTACTTCACCAGACTTGTTATTTGCGAGTCATATTATAATTTTGAAAGGTCTACTCCTCTGCTAAATGTAGCAAATACACTCAATATTACTATTTCAAGTATTTTGTACCCTAGTCTGGTCGTAGTGAACCACAGCCTCGAGCAGGGTTTGAGCACCCAAAGCACTATCACGGTTAGCATCCAACTATGACAATATGACGAATCACTTACCAGTGCTCGGGACTACAGTACTCCGTCGGATTGTGACTGACACCATCGCGACAGGGTACAAAGATCATGGCACTCGGACAGTGATGGCTGGTATACACGCTATCGTGGCCAGCGCCGCTGGATATATTCATCCACTGATCGGGACCAACGAGGTGGTTGGCCGCTGCCTGGATGGACTCGAGGCACCCCTGATCAAACTTCACAGCCGGCGAATCGGTGTCCAACGTCCAGTCGAAGGTGACCCCTTTGCCGTCCTGAGCGGCAATGGCAGAAAAGGCCTGCAGGCATTCTTCTTGCACTGCATGTACCACGCTATCTTGCGGATGTCGGATATCAAGCGTAAAGGAAACCTCGGATGCAACCGTGTTAGTTGATGCATTAGAAGGAATCCTGAAGATCCCCGTCGAGGCAAGAGCATTGTGCTTCCGAGCGATGTCATTCGACGCTGCAATCATTCGCGAGGCTGCAAGTAGGGGATCTTGGCGGGCACTCAAGGGCGTCGTCCCCGTGTGTGCATCGCGTCCCTTGACCTTGAAAGTAAACCACCTGTATCCCTGTGCGCCCTGAACGACGCCGATGGAACGTCTTGTCTCCTGTAGAATGGGGCCCTGTTCGATATGAAGCTCAAAATGCGCCGCAAGGGGATATGCAGTATGTGAGCACTCGATCTGGCCGAGAAATCCGTGTCTCTCAAGCTCAGATCGAAGGGTCACCCTGGAATCATGTATATCACGCAGATCCCAGGCTTTTTCGATTGAAATAGCTCCAGCCCAAACCCCAGACGAGCACATTGACTTGGGGAATCGAGCTCCTTCTTCACTGGCGGTCAGTTAGAAGAAGTCCGAACAGAAGACTGGGGAACAGGGTCGCACTTGGTCCAATTAACAATCCCAACATCGTAGTTGGTCTGGAATCCATTCTCCTTCATTGTTCGTAGCACTTCCAGCGCCGCCATCACTCCAAGAATGCCATCGTACCGACCGCCCCGTGGTTGTGTATCAAGATGGCTTCCCATGGCGATCATGGGAGCAGATGTCTGCAGCTTGCCTTTCTGGCGTGCAAACATGTTCCCCATCTGATCTACGGACAGCGAACATCCGAGCTTTTCAACTTCTCCGGCGAACCATCGTCGCACACGCGCATCGTTATCATCCAATGTGAGACGAGCCATCCCCGTGTCTGTCGGGTTCCTACTTGTGATGAGTTATACTCTTCCAGTAGAAAGTCTAACAATTCACGTACTCGCCATGACGATGAGCAGCTCCCCACTGACACGTCTCATGTAGCGTTTCCCATAATCTGTTGGCGTTGATCTTGAGTCCTGATGGTTGACATCCTGTGGACAGCCGTCGCGATGTGTTTCTTAGAAAATGGTAGTTGGTGCATCTGAAAGACTGCATATTGACGAAATGACAGTAGTCGATTCTGTGACTTCGGACAAGGAAGAGTTGATTCTCTGCTGGTCAGTTCTTCAGTTTCGGTCGTTGCTTTTATTGCCCTACGCCTTCTCTGGACAGCTGTGGTGGAACGTTTCCGGAATACAACCAGAAGATCCACTTTTCCTGCGAGTTCTTTATGCGAGCCGTCTTCCCAAATCAAACAGCAGTTTGTGCATATATTTTGTAGTATATGGGAGGTATGTAGATAGAAGGCGCTGGTGGAGACCGGATCAAGGGATGGCAAATTGTGGACACCTGTCGGAGTGCCTTCCACCAACATGACCCGGTGGATCTCGCCACGGACAATAAGAGGAATTCAACTCCAACATCCACTACATCAAGACGTCTTCTTGGTGTCTTGCTCATAACACCGATCGTCGGATCCTTCGACTTCCTTTACCAATCTCTCCATCTCCTCCACTTGCCGCTTGATCTCGGTCTGCTCGAGCCGTTCTTGCCTGTTGAACAGCTCCCGATTTGGCTTGCGATAGCTTCCTCCAATACGGTCCCAGAGTGTGGTGAACTGCCCATAGTTGTAGTTGAAATAGTAGTGGTGAATAGTGTGGCAGGCAGATCCGTTGATCACTGGGGAATCGAGAGCATACTCTCCGTCATCTGTGCATTCATCTCAAACATCAGCATTTGACCTGCTTTCGAAATCAGAGTATCTCAGAAGACTCACGAATCATGACTGTCCAGAACGTGACGAAAACAAAGAGTCCCAAATACGCCGCCTTCTGCAGCGGAAAGACAAACGGATAGATGTGGTATGGAAGACTCTGACTCCATCCGTCGACTGGGTGGAAGGCATAGCTAGCATAGGGGGTCGAGATGATCCACCTGTGATGCCGCTTGTGCAGGTGTTTGTAGATGGCCGGATGATGCAGTCCTCGATGAATCCAGTAGATGGCGAAATCGGTAAATGCGATAAAGAGTGGGTACTGCAGGTAGGTATACAGTGGAAAGGGACTTTCTGCGGGAAAATCGTACAGCTTGCTGTATCCTCGCACTTCGGCCAGGAAGAGAGGAGCGGTCAAGGCTGCCATCCCGGGCATTGCGCGCAATGCTTGCCCGATTTCAAGACGTATCTGATGGCGAAGAAACTTGGGGTGTTGCATCGCACGTTTGTCGAAGACCAGAGCGAAGGAGAGGGTGGCACTGACCAGGTAGAGCAGAAGACCGAAGCCCCTGAGACGAAGACAATAAGCAGACCGGCTATATGCAGAAAATCAAGACTAACCAGATCATGATAAAAAGACTCAAAAACTGCCGGAAAACATTGTCTCGGGACCAGCTGCTCTGCACAGCGTATTGGGATGGCATGAGGGTGACATATCGATTGATATGGCGGTTGTAACCATGCAGCGAGTCCTCGTCCAGAAGATCGAACGATCTGGCCGGTAGAAGAACCGCATAAAGCTTGTCGAAGACAAAGGTATCGAGAACATCAAGCGCGACGTCCATTATGCTTGTATTCGTTGATGCCTGGAGCGGGAGAGATTTGACACTAAGGAGAGGCCGAGTGCGACGGAGGAATCCTTGAAATATAACGGTGGATCGCCCATGGGCGCATTCGGTAAGTCAACTTCCGAGGTAGGATGATATTGAGTGCACTGCTGCCTTCACTAGAGACATATCAGGCCAAGGTCGAGGAATGCGTCGAGTTTTGAAGTTAAAAGCATCAAATCATGTTTGCTCTACGTGAAAAAGCCCGGGCCAGCTGGCAGACTCATGGTCAATGACCCAAACTCCTCGTAAATATGGAAAAGCATCAGGTCGGAAAGTGTATTCATTTGAGATCTAAGTCCCGCTAGCTAAGCAATGCTGTCACTGATTCCCTTGGATCCATACCGAGACAGTAGACAGTGTGGTATAAATCATAAAAATGAATCCCAGCACCACCATGGTGAGGTCGCCAAATTTAGCCAAGGGAGAGTCTGCGACCCCCTTCCAGTGCAAGTACGCCGGATAAATGTAGACTAGAGGAACACAAGCGAATGACCCGATCAACGAAACAAACTTGTCCAAGTCAGCAGCTCCGACGGCCGACATCACAGCGCAAGCCAGCACCATCAACGTTCGGAAAATGTTCTTTTTCCACTTGATCCAAGGGTCTCGTTTGCCCGACACCTGACCGAACAGTTTGCCCTCCATGATCCGAACGGCAGGGAACAGCTGTACTGGAACACCGATCAGGATCGCCATCGAGTAGAGGAACTGCATAGCGTTCACAAATTTGTCTCCCTGGGGAAGATTGTTGATGACTTCGATCTTCGTGTCGGAACCGAAGGCGCCGTAGGAAAGAGCGCCGACGGCCGTGAAGAGGATAGTGATGATGATCATGACAGTAAAGAGGAGCCCGCGGAATTTCTCCGGGTGTTTCATGGACGATTCAATGGGGAGGATCAGACCGATTCCTTCAAACGTGAAGATGCAGGAACCGATGGTCAAGGTAAATGACTTGGGATTGAACAGTTCGACCGACGGCTCCAAACCATGTCGGGACGCAATGGTCGCAATATCGTAGTAATAGATGTACGCAAGACCCATGAGGATGAAAATGTCCGCGAGCAGCGCCGCTGGTCCCAGTTTGGAGATGTTTCGGATGAATGCCAGAGGCACAAGAACGGCCAATTGCAGTGCGATCAGGACGTTGGTGGACAGAACCTTTTCGGAATTTTCAGCCACAGCTGACAAGACCGCCCGAACGTTGTCCGCTGTAAAGATGATACCAGTGCAGACAAAGCCAAGCTGGGATATGGTGATGGATCCCAGAATGAGCGATCGGACTCGAGGCCCTGCTATACGCTCCCCGATATCACCATAACCGCCCCCATGTCCTTTCCGACACTCCAGCAGAAGATGGAAGCAGAGACTTGTAATGGCCGCGACCGTGACAAGAGCGACCGAGGAGAAGAGAATGCCACCGTTAAGAAAGGCCTTGGGCAAGAAAATGATTCCCGTCCCGATGAACGCTTTCAGTAGTGTGAAAAATGTCTTGACCCGAGACGCATCCCCAGGGCGAGCTGCTCGAGTGGTTCTCCGCCGGCCCAGCAGAGGTCTTCGCTCGGGCTCATGCTCGAGATCTTCCGTTGCAATCGCCGACTCATCCTCCGTCTCCGCTAAATCCTCTCCCGCGAAACTACCGTACAGGTCGAGAAAATCCAGGAACGAGGGAGCGACGAGCGCATTGCTGGCCCAGCCATTTTTGTTTTGTACAAAATGCCGACGAAAGCTGCCAGGTTCCATGGCCGCCACGCCTTCTTCTATCGCATCATCGGGGGTTCGGGAGGGATGGGAGAAGCTGGCCGCTCGTCTCTCTTGCAGAGCTTGTTTGGCCTTTGCCTCGAGTCGGTAGAGATCGCGATGGACATCCCCACCAAGAAGCTTCAGTGACGACTGTTGTTCGGGAGTGTCTGAACTGGCCGATGCTTCAACTGCAGCACGGGATTGAAGGGGCGATTCTTCGTGAAGCGAGCCGGTGAATTGAGGGTGTAGATGTTGGGATAGAATCTCGGCCTCTCGCTGGTCATCTCGGCTGTGGGACAACGAAGGAGAGGGGTCTGCCATTGTCAGCGGAAATAGGAGGAAAGATTGTCGTCAAATCAGATCAACTGCGAAGGAGGAATCAGAAAATATCCAGGACTTCTGGCGATAAGGCAAATAGCCTCATTGTGCAGCACTGATGGAATGACGATGAAACGTGCCCGAGTGAAGTCATTCCATTCGACACTGACAGGTTGTCGTGCCTTGTTTAGAGAGAGTTAGCTATGGAAGAGGATGGAGAAAGAACGTGGATCTCGATTGTTCTGCGCCACTGACCGCATGACTTGCGCGCTGACTCAGCTGCATAGCACAAGTTGCACAACCGTCTGTCTTCAGGCCTCAGGTTGAGGTACAGACTCACCAGGTACCTGGATACACTCTGAGCATCCAATAGCCTATCGTAAACTACGAATGCTTTGAGAAGGTCTGGAGTATCAAATGCGGGGGACGAAAGAGACTTTGCCCCGAATAGGCATTTTTGGAGGGAAATGATGAATGGTGAAGTCATCTGTCGCTTCCAAAGTTTGTCCATTTATACCGAGTAGCCATCGCACTGTTCTGCTGGTAGGCATTTTTAATGCAGTTACAATTGATCTGAATGAATATGTCTGAAAACAGCAAGAAAAACAACACTCCCCAAGCTTCAGGCCGGCGTCGGTCGTCGGTGGTGCCTCCTAGCCTCCAGTTCCTCGTGGATCAGGATCCGCAGCAGGACAGAGATGGACCTGCGCAATGGGAGAAATCATGGGATCAGACGTATGTTGCCCCTGGTAGGCTTTCAAGTGTAGCAGTGGCCATGTCTGATTGCCTTCAGAACCAACAACCGGGAGCTCTCCGACTTCCTGGAACGAGTCTCTTCGAGGAATCTCCTGGATTCTACTCGCTACACGGGCGGAAAGATTCGAAAAGGGTCCTAGAACAGACGCTGCTAGGATATCTGTCCAAACCTTGAATTGACATCGTTCCTTTGTATCACATATTGGGGTCTTTCTTGTTGCGCCTCTTAACAGATAATCTAATTCAACTAGTGGTACAAGAGGACAATCATTTGATGCAAAACTATATAGCTAGTCACTGTAGACATTTGACATTGCATATATATTCCCCATTAACACATTCCCCCATCTGCCATATTGATCATTACAGCAGCCATACTTCTTGCAATAAGCCTCGGGATTGCTTGCAAGCTTGATCACACCATCCTTCAAGTTCTCTAATTGGTGTGAATCAGCCAATGCATCCCTTTTGTCTTCGCTTAACTGGTCATAATGATCATAATGGTCATACTAGGGGCAGCAAATTGTGGATAAAGTGCACCGCCACACGGGAAAATTGAATGATCTAGTTCGGGCAGGTTTCCAACATTAATTAATCTTTGCTCTGCTTGTCCAGCTTAGTCTAGATACATGAGATGGATTGGGACAACCTCATCTTCAATATAGGCGTCTTCATCGCCGGTATCTTTGTCCTTGATTATGGCGCCGACACATTCATTGACCATACCGTCATCGTCGGCCGCTCCCTGGGGGTTTCGCAAACTATTATTGCCTTGCTGACGGCAGGGGCAGAGTATGAAGAGGCAAGTCAATTTTGCATTCCAGATCTTCAAATGCAAAGCTGATCGTTCGATTAGCTCGCGGTGGTGGTTGCTGCCATTCTGCAAAGTCGCACTCCCCTGGCCTTGGGCAACCTCATGGGCTCGAGCATCTCCAACGTCCTGGGCGCATTTTCGCTGGGTCTACTCTTCCATCCGACTCGAATTGAATTTGACCGGAGTGCCAAAATATATGCTGCAGCGCTTCTCGCGGTGACGACGCTGTTCGTGCTGCTGGCGTTCTTCAACCAGTTGAACAAGATAGTCGGGGGCTTTCTGATCGCTTTGTTTGTCCTCTATGTTGTTTCAATCTTCTATGCCATCTACAGAGGTGTTGCAGCGGCACCTGGGCTCTCGGACAGCGACAGTGACGCAGAGTCGATCGATGATGTGGTGGATTCTGTCACTGAAGCAACTCCCTTGATAGAGCCTCAGTCCGGTCAAACCCCAGGGCGGTCGACAAGGAGCCTTCTGTACCACATCAGCCGTCTATTTCTTGGCATCGTCGCGCTATCATTAGCCGGATATCTTCTGTCGCATAGTGCCGTGAGCATCGCCGACTCCCTACACCTCTCCGGAACAGTCTTCGGTCTGACAATTGTGTCGTTCGCCACCACCTTGCCTGAGAAGCTTATTGCAGTCCTCAGCGGGTCTCGCGGACATGTCAACCTCATGGCTGCTACTACCGCGGGAAGCAATATCTTCCTCTTAACTCTCTGTGCCGGCGTGGTGGCGCTTGCTGGTAGTACACGAAATCAATCAGACACGTTCGTCTTGTTCGATCTGATTACTGTGTGGATGTCATCCTTGGTCTTCTTCTTGGTGGTTATCCTTGGCCTGGGGAGGGTAGCCGGTGTGATACTCCTGGCTGCGTATCTGGCATTTTTAGCGCTTGAGTTTACTGTCTACAGAAGATAAGTGTTGTTCACAACTCTATGAACATACCCTGGCCGTTGAAGGAGACACAGGTGGGCCATTTGAAATAATTACCTTCTGGCTCCCTAGTTGCATCGTTACTTTCTCTTATTTACCGGAGTCATGCTCAAGAATGGGGTCGTAGAATCCGGTTGGAAATCTATGGCTTGAATAGACCAGAAACATGACAAACTCTGCATCGATGAACACGGCCAACATGCATAAAATGATGCGATTGTATTGTGGCCAATTGCTATGAAGAATCACTGGTATATAGGAAGGATTGTTTCTCCGGTAAGCTCGATATAGAGACATCCGATCAAAGCGGGGTTACGCGATGCTATCCGAGGCAACTCATCGTCTCCGCTCTGAGACAGGAATGCCTCTATTTCTTGTGCTTTTGGGTTCCCCGTTGAAGGAACTACACGGCACAACTTCATGTCCGCACATCGCGATGAGCTGCACCAGGCGAGTCTTCCCACTTCGGCAGCCCAAAGGGCATCGACCGCCGGTTCCGAGATGGATGGCTCAGTTTCCGGCTGATATGGAGCGTGTATTCACCGCGTATATTGGGGTGCAACATCACGAGGCCCAAAGCGATATGGGATCGCATACTGAGGGCGTTCACGAGGCGGTTGAGAGCATACAGCGATGGATGGTCGAGGATCCATCCAGTGCACCTGTGTCAATTGAACAATTCCTGGTTGTTGACGGAGATGATGTGCCTAACTCCACAGTTTGGGTGTGCTACTGGGATGAGGCGAGCAAGTATGAAGACAGTATACGACGCTTAAGCCTTTTGGACATACACCAGCAATTAAACGCTCCTCATCGGCAGTCTGTTGGCTTATGGTGTGAACGATTCACAAGCCATCTGTCGCGTGTTGAGACCAACTATTCAGGCCTCGACTATCTCCCAGGACTGGCGCGCTTGCCCGGAGTGTCGACCGTAGAGCATACTCTGACTGCATATTGGGGGGCTGCCCGCGATCGTATCCCAGCCTCGGCCACAGATCGGTTTGCCAAGGGACAAGAACCGGAAAAGACGCAGTTGGCACCAGAGACTACCTCTCAGCGTGAGACACGAAGTCATCACGTAGTAGGCACTAATCCGGACAACCTCGTTCACATCCGCTCGGGCCAATTCTGGGCCGATTGCGCAGAAGACGAAGCCAAAGCATACGAGGAGACGCTGGAGCCTACCCTGCGAGCTGGATTGGCATATCTATGGGATAATCCCCAAAAGAGTGGCGCCATGGGGCTGCGGTATCTCTACAATCGTCCACTCACTGCTCGGGCCCTGGGGAAGATGCGCGAGACTAAAGAGTCCTGCGTGGCTGGATTCTTTCGCAACCTTGCAGACCTCGAATACTGGGCCAAGTCGCACCCTTCCCACTTGGCCATCCATACTGGAGCCATAAAGCATGCAAAGAAGTTCGGAGACCAGCGCAAGTTCCGCACCTGGCACGAAGTTTCAGTGCTGAAGCAAGGCGAGGCACATTTTGAGTATATCAACTGCGTGGGGAGAACAGGTGTCATCCAGGGGATGTCACTTGAATTTGTATAGCTACTAAAGATTGAACTTGCCTGGGACATCTTGGCTGTGAATTTAGTCAACATCTATCACCTGTAGAGTGATTTGGTAGAATACTCATCGGAGGACACAGATGGCGAGAAGATAGGTACGTTATTTAGAGATCCTCATCAAGTCTGTTTCCAGTATTGGCGCGAGTTTCTGAATGTTTACATTGGCAAATCATTAGATCATTTTCTAGCATACCCCATTCTTGTTGCCGAATATGGATAATATCTTGGAGCATACGAAATCCTCCATGACTTTCTCCCCGATATAGTGGCCCCCACAGGGGCATGGAACTCTACGGACGCTATTTGGAGTGGCATTATTGTCAAAAATAAATGCGTATGCCTGATAGAGTTTCCACAAATAAAGTTTGAAACATGCCAGATGGCATTCGAGACGTTCTTGGGGGAGTTCATCGGGGTCGCAAACCTACCGTCCTCGATGCACCATGGCTCTTCCTCGTACCGAATCATCAAGAGTCCTCGTCCATTCAGCGGATGGCAAATTACCTACTATTTGCTGCTGATGTTTGTCTGTCTTTCCCCTGACCATCTGACCTCTGCGTCTGACACGCCTCGTAGTCCCACATTTTTTCACATGCAACCCCGCTTCATCAGCTCGTGGACTAAATAATGGACGAAAAGCATCGCGGTTTCTCGAAGATATAACTGGCAGATTCCAAAATGTCATGTTCGGCCGTCTTCGAGCGCTGATCGCATCTCTTGTGCATTATCAGATGCGCTGTGTACATAAATATCCCCCGATCCGTTCCTCGGTCCGGTCCGTTTCTTTTCTGCATCTGAAAAACATCACAAAACATCTTGCTGTTTAATCGCTGACTATTCAGATACATTTCTTGATACGAATCATGGCTCAAGCCCAAGACGAAACTGCTCAGCCCACAGAGGCAGCACAGTCGTACGAATCTTTACACATCTACGACACGATTGCGGAGCCAACAGACCTCAAGGCTCTCCTGACGGAAGATATCTACCTCCTCGGAGGCCAGTTCGCTATTCTCTGTCAGTTTGCCCATCCTGCCCTGGCCAAAGGCACCTACAACCATTCCAGCTTCGCCACTCGCATTCCCAACCGTCTCCAGAACACCGCCCGTTTCCTCAATGCAGCCGTCTTTGGCACTCGGCAGGAGAGGGCAGCTATCTTCTCCGTCATCCACCGCTATCATGCCCGAGTAAAGGGAGAAGACTACGATGCCAATGACCCGGAGCTGCACAAGTGGACCGCTGCTACCCTGTTCGTCGCCATTGTGGTCGTCCACGAAACCTTCTTCGGGAAGCTGCCCCGAGAGAAGATGGAAGCCCTTTACCGAGAATCTGCGGTCTTTGGCACTTCCCTGCGGATGCCTCCCGAGATGTGGCCAGCCACTCTTGACAAATTCTGGGAGTACTGGAACCATCACATCGAGACCTTGGAGGTAACCGATATGGCACGGAAACTGAGTCGCGATCTCCTCTACCCGGTCACTCTCCCGCTGTGGATGAGAGTCATGACCCCATTTGCGCGGCTTTTGACTATCCATTTCCTCCCGGAACGACTGGCCAAGGAATACGATCTGCAACCAACTGTACTGAGTCGGATCCAGTTTCAGGCCACTGTTCGTGCCATGCGCATTGCATATCCCAGTCTACCGCAGCATATGCGACAGACCCTGCATAGGCAATACATGGAAGATCTCAGGAAGGCAGTGGACAAGATCAAGCAGACTGGACACTGGGGGGACTATAGCAGGCGTGGGACCGCTGAGTAATTCAAAGAGTATTATTGCAATGATGTTTTCCGAGTCATCAGATAGGCCCTAGAGTGGATAGCAGTGTGACAAGGATGTTTGAAACATTTCTTTACGCATGTATTGATCTAAGTTAGGATTTTCTTACACTGGATGAACCTAGGCGGATAATTCATGTAGTCCTCCCCGCCAGAGGTGATACCTGAAAGAACCTCTGACTTATTTACGAGGTCCAGTTAATCTAAATTCAGACTCAATATCCCTTCCCCAGCTGTACATCCTCACCACCACCATACCAAAGGCGACCTCTGCGAATGACAAGGCCTTTTTCTTGGCCAACCAGCCACTCTTCCCCAGCCTTGATCGTTCCATTCTTGCATGGCCAATATTCGTCCTGCAACTTTTGGTTAATTTCGTCGATCTTGTCAATCAGTTCTTTGACTTTGGAAGGGTCAACTTGTCCCTCTACCACTGCATCTCCTTGTTTGGCGAAGCCGTCCTGAGTGACGAACCGAGCAATGGTGAGATGGGCTGAAGGAACAATGTACCGGGACGCAACCGGTATACCGGCCGCCCGAACCATGTCAAATACATCGCGACGCAGATGATGATAACTGTAAGTCTCGTCTTCGATACTTCGTTGCGCATCTGAAGCTTCTCCAGCGGCTGGTACAAAGGTCAATGCCATGGCCGCAGAATCAAAGCCCACCATAGGCTTTACAAGGCGCGTTCGATGAGCAAAGGCATAGTCCGCAATTTCTGATGTGGACACGTCCTGTGATAACTGCAGAGTATTTACGAGACTCTCAATCTGCTCTTCAGTCAAAGAATGAGCCACTTCCAATACTGTTGTATGCAGATTCTCGGAGGGCATGAGCCAGAGGGCTGTCGGAACAGGGTCAGCACGTTGTCCCCTGGTTGGATGAAGGTGTGTAAAGTGTAAAATTGTACTTGGAGCAATGCTTCTGAGTTCGCTCTGCACGAACTTTATAAGGTCACGCACTGGAGAAGGCGGCCGGGCCCAAATGACCAGACAGTTGCGAGGATCAACAAACCCTTCTTCCTTTGCAGGGCCGTCAAGGCGCATTAAGATCTCGTCAAGATTCCAGCCTTTGAAGCCCGGTGCCAGGATCTTCTCAGCTTGCTGCGCATTTCGATTGACCCGATGGTTCTCGTAGCGGGACTGTAATTTAGCCTGATAGAGAGGCTTAACAGGGGGCTCTCAACCAGAGACAATTGCATATTACTGACCACATCATTATTTGTCTCAGTAATCAAAATTTGGAAGGGATTGTCATTGGATATCGTAAGCTTGGACATTTTGTAATCGATTTCGAAGATCACGCAGACATAAATGCCAATACTGAGAACGGAACTACTTTATGCAAAGAATCATGACGGAGCAAGGTGACTTGAAGTGAGTCATCTTGAAACTGTGGCTGCCGGTACAACCCTCTCCAGCTTGGCACTTGCAAACACGGGCTGAGTATGGAGAAGATGAAGGAACACCGAATTAACCAGGAGGGCCATGCGGTAGTCGTCCGCTGTCCCAAAGATTATTTGTAAGAGCATCAGCAAGTAAAGTAGCAGGAGTTTGCAAAATGTCTAAAGCAGTAAACTTCATACCATACTATAACAGTCAGACTGCTACAGGCGGGGGGTTAGAATAGTAAAAGGACAACTTTTATACTAGAGGTCACCGATAAAGGAGCATATGAGACAACCATGCCACAGTCAACTGTGCCTTCCCGGATAAAGTCTTAAGCAAGTTGCGGCTCGGTATATTCGGACATACAGCCTAATGGAGTAAACATGCTCGGATCTCGGAGATATCGTGCTCGGCACTGGCAATTGCCGGGCAAAAGCGAGATGATCTGATAATTCTTATCAATCAGTGTTGCCTTTGGCAGTATCCGCTCCTCCAATGCCGATATATAAATGCACCTCCCTAGACTGATGGGTCAGATCCTCATCCTCTTCATTCTCTACTTCATACACCAATTCATAAGCTCCAAAAAACACCAGAGCAACATGGCAGCACCTCTGAAGAATATCATTGTCGTGGGAGGATCGTATGTGGGAAGAGTACGTCCTTTTACCAGGAAAAGTAGCATGGAATTGCATACTGACAAGTTATATTAAGGCCACTGCTCAAGAGCTGGCACGCGCTATTCCAGAGACACATCGGGTACTTATACCTCATCATGGCCTGGCCACACATGCTAATTCTTCAGGTCCTCTTGATTGAACCGCATAGCCATTTTCACCATCTCTTTGCTTTTGTAAGCATCCTTCCCCTGTATCCCGATGTCGCTAACCTCTTCATCTCAGCCACGTTTTGCCATTGTACCTGGTCAAGAACATAAAGCTTTCATCCCCTACACGGGAATTTTCTCCTCTGTTCCCCGTCCATCCACACATGCAGTGGTCCAAGCGAGAGTGCTTTCTGTAAGCCCACGATCTGTGACGTTGGATCGCCAGTGGCAGGATTCCACACAAATCCCCTACGAGTACCTGGCAATCGCCACTGGAACTCGGCTCGCTCAGCCGGCGGGCATGAAAGATGACGACAAGGTGTCCTCAGTCGAGTACTTGCAAAAACACCAGGCGGATATCAAGCGGTCCAAGTCTATCCTCATTGTTGGTGGAGGCGCTGTCGGTGTGCAGATGGCGACAGACCTCAAGGAGTACTATCCCGACAAGGAGGTCACTCTTGTGCAGTCTCGCGCACGAGTCATGCCTCTATTCCATGAGAAGTTGCACGAGCTGATCAAGAAGCGATTCGATGAGCTAGGGGTCCGGTATGGCTGCATAGTCACCTCTCTCACCACCGAATTTCGACTGACGAATCAAATTTTGTAGACTCATTACTCACGCTCGCGTCAGCGTACCCTCAGAAGGATTTCCCACTGATGGAAAGGCATTTGATGTCCAGCTCACTAACGGCAGCAAAGTTTCGACCGAGTTCGTCATTCTAGCAACCGGCCAACGGCCTAACAATGACCTTTTGACCAGTTTGACCCCTTCTAAACCCGGATCAGTCATCAATCCGGACAATGGCTTTGTTCGGGTTCGGCCGACTTTGCAACTACAAGATGAGAACTTTCCGAATATCTTCGCTGTAGGTGACATTGCCGACACCGGTGCGCAAAAGGCCGCTCGGCCAGGATCCGTGCAGGCCGGCGTAGTCGCCAGGAATATCCAAGCGTTGATTGAAGGACGAAGGGCGGAGGAAGAGTACACACCGCCGCCGGCAGGCATTCATCTCACCCTTGGCCTGGTAAGTTCTGCACTCAGCAACGACGCTGGCTGGTTGAAGCTCACTTGCATTAGAAATTGAACGTCATATTCCGCAATCCGAACACGGCAGAAGGACAAACCGAACCCTGGATCAATGAGAGAACCGAGTAAGTCGCATTCATGACTGTTGCGGAACATGACACTGATCGATGTGTATAGTGGCCGAGAGGACATGAGAGTAGAAGGATGGTGGGAGAGGTTGGGTGTTCAGGTCGAGAACCCTCGCTCGTACCATCTGTAGATAGTCAAGCCATGTATGATGATACCCGATAGATTTCGTTCAAATGCTCTTTTGGTTGACCCTTATCTCCAGAAGTTGCCATGACCAACAATTTTGTCTATTATACGCGCCCTCTATAAGTACAGCGAATGCCTAATGGGGAACGGTTAGAGAATGGCTGATTTCCAATTCACCCGGCTGGTCGCATCTTCGGCCTGCTGGAATACACCAAACAATGGTTCGAACTCGCCATTCTCGTCATAAGCCGCGAACCACTGGAATCGGATATCATGCTGCCGGCTCTTCTTGCCGGAGAGGAGCCGTACGGGATTGCACATAGTGCCACTCAGGGTATCACAAGCTTCCTGGGCGTTTTGTGTAGTGGAGTTCAGGTTTCGACACGGCGACAAGTATTGCACTGGGCGGCGGTCCCGAAGCGGTCGGAATGGCGACGACCGCCCGTAGGAGTTTCATGATGATCTACATAATGCGTCCCTGAGCATAGTCCAAATAGAGTTGATGTTAGTCACAGAAACCTCTCCCCGGATGATTGATGGGCAAACTGTTACGTATGCGCTGGGGAAACCAACCTACTTTCCCCCCTCATGTGGGGTTGCTGTTTGTCAAAAATCCAAGAGCTTCACTTGGAGCCGGTCCAGCGAGTGGAACGGGGAATATTCTCCATAGTTGTCGGCCAGAGCTTCTCATGTGAAATATGGGAGTACTCGCGTGGGATGCGAATTGATCACTGCTGTCCATCACTTGCTGAGGCGATGGATTTTGCCTTCGCTACTCCGCAGTCTGAGCAGCTGTCTAGTTGGGATCACGTGACATGATCTCGCTGCGTGTCTTATCGCATCTCTACAAGAGCCTTGGGTAAAGGATCTTCAGAGCTGAGCTGCTGATAACATCCTGGTCTTCATCACCTTCCACAGGCAGCACCAGTGACCAATCTGGATGCTGGATCTATCTCATCTGTTGCTGGAGCGACTCTTATCAGCGATTGTCCTTGCGCCACCATCAACGCCCCACACACACGACAGCTGTTTCCTTGACTCATGAGCACCATGATTTCTACTCCTTCAGGATGACATTGACCTTGACAATTGTACACCGCTGCTGATGTTCAGAATGCCAGCATTAATACGCCTTCTGGCCACCGCTCTTGCTCTCGCAGCAGGCCAGGGTGCTGCTCTTCAGCTCCCTCTCTCCCGTGCCTCGGGACCCCAAATTCCGGTGGCTGGGAAGGAGTTGATCAGCTCTTCCGCACTGCAAAGCCAGATCGATGTCGACAATCTACTCAAAAGAGCTAAGCATCTGTATAGCATCGCAGAACTTGGAATTGACGAGTATAATCATCCCACACGCGTGATTGGCAGCAAAGGTTCGTTTGATTCTGGAGTCGCACATCACAACAGCGGAAATGACTCACGTGACCGCAGGCCATCTGGGGACGCTGGACTACATCTATGCGACTCTGACGGAATTCGACGACTACTACACCATCTCTAACCAGTCCTTCCCTGCAGTCACTGGTAATGTGGTCGAATCACGGTTGGTGCTGGGCCACACCGTGCCCGAGTCCGCTCTCCCCATGGGCTTGACCCCACCCACCAAGGACCACGAACCGGTCTACGGGCCGCTGGTGCTTGTCTCCAACCTGGGCTGTGACGCGATAGACTACCCTCCAGAGCTCAAGGGGGCCATCGCGTTCATCAGCCGAGGCAGCTGTCCTTTTGGTACCAAGTCCGCCTTGGCTGGAAAAGCCGGAGCCGTGGCTGCGGTGATCTACAACAACGAAAAAGGTGGCCTTGGGGGCACTCTGGGCACTCCATCTCCCGACCATGTGGCTACCTTTGGTATTTCCGACAGCGATGCGGCGCCAGTTTTGGAGCGACTTGGACACGGCCAAAAGGTCGATGCGATCGCCTACATGGATGCAACAGTGGAGACTATCACCACCACCAACATCATCGCGCAAACAAAAGAAGGAGATGCCGACAACTGCGTGATGGCCGGTGCCCACAGCGACAGCGTGATGGAAGGACCTGGCATCAACGATGACGGATCGGGTACCTTGACCTTACTAGAGATCGCTTCTTTGCTGCCTCAGTACCGGGTCAATAACTGTGTGCGTCTGGCCTGGTGGGCAGCGGAGGAAGAGGGACTGCTCGGGTCGGACTACTACGTCTCGGTTCTGTCGGAGGCTGAGAATCTGAAGATCCGGCTGTTTATGGACTATGACATGTTGGCCTCGCCGAACTTTGCCTACCAGGTCTACAACGCCACCAACGCGGTCAACCCGGTAGGATCGGAACAGCTGCGGGACCTCTATACCGAGTTCTTTGAGGCTCAAGGATTGAACTTCACCTACATCCCGTTTGATGGACGAAGCGACTATGATGCATTCATCCGGAATGGCATTCCCGGCGGCGGAATCGCTACTGGGGCTGAGGTGATCAAGACAAAGGAAGAGCAGAAGATGTTCGGAGGTGTCGCTGGAGATGCCTTTGATCCCTGCTACCACCAGCTCTGTGACGACGTAAGCAATGTCAACCTCACTGCCTGGGAGGTGAATACCAAGGTAAGAGCTGTTTGTCTCTGCAGTCGAGAAATACTACTAACGTGTCTGCAGCTTGTCGCACACTCGATTGCCACGTACGCTCAGTCTTTCGACAGCTTTCCAAAGAGGACCGGGGTAGAATCTGTGGTAATGGGTGAAGAGCAGAGAAAGTATCATGGGCACGCACTGCTGTACTAGCTGTCGGTTCGAGTAAATTCTATGCATTGTATAGACCCATCTGCAGATACTATTGCACAGACTCGCCAGGAATGACTCCATCCAACCCCATTTGGAAGGAAGATGAAAGGCAGCATCTCAGCTATTTGACATCATCTGATCCATAGAATCAATCTATTACCTAAAAGCCCAGCAAGGGGGCGAACCACAAGCCCTCGCGAAGTCGCAATTGAGGCATTTCTTGGTGCCAAGAGCAATCCTCATGACTCTGAGATTTTCGGCAAAGCACGCAACTGGTCTAGAACAGAACGGTAAAGCTCATTAAAAATGTCAGATGATGAGGTAGACCAATATTTTACCTAACAATAAGCCCCTATTTAGAGCGAGGAGCCTATCAGCACCCATGCCGGTATGACCGCCTCCTGAATGCCGTCATTCCCGGTGGAGCTCTGGATATCCTCGGCCCTCTTAGTGCTTTGTGGGGAGAGCAAGAATAGCAGCAGCAGCGGATTCTTTACCCCGGAATTTCGTGCCTCAAAAGGCAGTAGTATGATTCAAATCCCAAGATCCAGACATTTAACAACGATGACTTGCTTTATATACCCTGGTTTTCTTCCACTATTCCCATGTAAATTGCCTCCGATTGCATGACATGATCATTTGCCTCCTATCATCCTGCTTCACTCCGACTCTCTGTACAACCATGGCGTTGGAAACCCTCACGGCAGAGCTGAGGATCCTCATCCTGAAGTCTATGCCTGATGTTCAAACCCTCCACGATCTTATCCGAGTTTCTGCGACATACCGGAACACCTACCATCTCTCCCAAAAGAGCATTCTCGATCGCCTGGTTCGAGAACACTATGGCGCAGTCGGCCTGGAAGAACCTATCATGGCCATTCAGTCTGCCGGTCTTCATGCTGAGAACTCAGCCGACAAACAGAGAATCATCGAGGTTCTCGATCGCCAGCGCATCTCCAGCTCAGTCCCCAGCAAGCTGGATCCCTCCGCCAGTATCGACCTTCTTCACCTTCATCAAACCTTCCAGACAATACTAGACACCTTTAGCTCGCATGCGACACGTTCTAGCCCAAGCGAACCCCTTCGACAGCAGCACACCGCTCCCTTGCGACTCTCACCGACGGAAAAGGCACGGATATTGCGAGCGCTGTGCCGGTTACAAACATACTGCAACGTCTTTGGCGCACGAGAGTGGACGGAGCCGGCCAGTGAGCAGTCAGTCCCGGCAATGTCCAAGAGGACGTCTTCGACCTGGTACAAGAACTTTACTATCAATGAGATGTGGCGGCTCTGTTTTAGCTCGATGGCACCTTGGCAGGTGGAGGAGTTTGGTTCGGTCTGGGTTCTCATGCGGAATGAGTACAAGCGGATGTTCGACGAAATCCAGCAGGAGTTTCCTCGAACAGATAGTCGGTGGAGGGCGCTGAGACCAGCTTCATTACCGACCGATCCGTGGGAGCTATATCCCAGTTCTTCCGGTACGTTTCTCTCCGACCTGAGATAGCACATGTCTCCAAGCTGACAGGTACATAGACGATGTAAACGATTATAGCATCTACTTCAATCATCTCGTCCTCTTGGGCCCTGCATTTCTACACAAGGTTCTCTCCCAGAAGAGCCGGGAAGATCGCTGGCGATTGTTGGCATGCAACTCGATATCCTCCAAATCCTCTTTTATGGACACAGTACGGGTTGTTCGGAATCCCTCGCCTCAACTGTGGTCCGCAGACAAATGTATGAACGATGACATTCTGCAAGGGCTGCGGAGGATGCCGGCCATCGACCAGCCCAACCCTGGTTGGAAGCAGCACTGGTACGGTCAGGATATGGCCGATTGTGCGATCTTCACTCCCAGATCGAGCGTTCACGAGTCCGAGGATGCTCAATTACGGACGTTCGGGCACTGCGCTGGTTGGGAATGGGGCTACGCACTGTGGGACGCTGCGGGCTGTGCCTGATTCCAGCGACATTAATGATTGATGACATTGCATTGGGTAAAGGAATATGAGAAATAGCATACTTGGCTGCACTAGCATGATAATCAGCCAACTAATACAAAAGTTATTGTTCTTCCTTACATCATAACGAAAAGCGTAACATCAAGTCAATATTGGACCAGAATAGCCAGAGAACTGGCTGACTGAAATTGGTTTCCACTTGTCCTCGGATATACTGGAGTGAGCCAACTATGTGTTCTGTAGACAGTCGACGGGCTTAGCGCCTGGGTGGGATGCCTGGGAGATTGCTAATTATACGTGACCTCTTTCCCAAAGGCTCCTTCATTCTGAACGCGTTCTGGTCAGGGCTGGTGCTTAGCGAGAAGCTCATTCTTTACCCCCCATGAGGGGTTCTCTATCGAACTGTTGTCGCTCCCGGGATGTATAGTCAACCATCAGTTGCTGCGCAACTATCTGTTCACGAGTCATTCCTCATTCACGCCCCCCTGGACTAAATTGAGGACAAGCGGAATGCCGCTCGACCTCGGGGCCTGCCATGCTCATGAACTACGAATTCCGGTTCGTCTGTTGCTGCAGGGCCTCAAACTCTTCTGTTGCTTCATGGTATCGCCAGACATGCCGAACGCTGGATTGTGGCTTATGTTTACTAGCAATGTGTAAAGCTAGCCAGTTAGTATAGGATTCTACTAGATGTGTTTGAAGCTGGAAATAATACGCTTAGATACAGGTCCCATCTCACCTACGTCCATGAGCCTCGGATATCACTATCATCTACGTCTTTGAAGGTGCTTGCTTTTCGGTGTAACTCACAGGCAGTTCAAGTTCAAAAGATTCAGCTCTACCCTTTGTAAGAATCATATTGGTTAATCGATTCTACCGCGAATCCGCATAGACGAAAGGCCTTCATGTCATATATCCACAAGTCTTTGTTGTCCTGTGAGAACCCCGCGCTGGGCTACGAAGAATTCCCAACTGAGGCAAAAGACATACTATGATTTGACCATAGAGGTCAAATCATGCCCAGCTTCCATATATAAACCTTACTGGCTCTAACATGTCCCACTGATCGTGTTTTTATTCTCAGAAACATCATAATTGGCCCGGCTGCTTCCAGTGGGATTAAGCTTGATTTTGTCCATTAGAAGCCTGCTGTACCAGGAGCTATATTTCAAGGTTATTTTGGCCGTTGCGCGTATCTCCAAGGCATGACGCTATTGACGACCATGATCTGGCTGATATCGGTTGGGACTCGAACAGGATCTGCAATGAAGGCTTACATATGTATCGATGCGTTCCAAGGAAATGCAGGTTCATTCGGATCTAGAACGAATAGAATTGCCCCGATCTGGTAGCAGACTGGCAACAATGACAATCGTGCGGGTAATGCTGCCATAAACTTGGCTAGAACATGGACACATATTTCCCAATGTGAATTGTCAATGATTCTAATGGATTCAATTCCTGCTTGATCGATAACAATTCCCAGATTGAACCGACGTTAAATCATGAATTTCTTCACTTACTGCATGCGGGCGAGGCAAACGTCATGTTGACTCGATTATTGTGGAGCATCGGAAGCAACCGAGTCAGCATGGCGACGATCAATAAGAACCCCGGATTATGTATATCAAGTTCGTATCCAGCATCCCAAGCAGTGATTGAATTGCAGAACCAGATTCAATTCGAATACTTGCAATGGCATCTCATCCTCTTCAAGCGATAGGCGAGGCTGTCGGGGGGGCGGGGGCTGACCCTCGCGTGATGCAGCTTTCTTCATTGTTCCAGGGCGCCAACGATGGCCCAGCAAAGACCGCAGCTAAATTGACCGGCGTTCAAGCTTCAGGAAAGAGAGCGGACGATGGACCGTACTTCACGAACAATGAAGGCATCCCGTTTCCTGACCCAGCCCACAGTAAGACTGCGGGGGGCATACCCCTAGTGTCCGATACCTTTCTGCTCCAAAAGCAGCAGCACTTCAATCGCTCGAAGAATCTCGAGCGGATGGTTCACCCTTGTAAGTTGCCACCATGAATGCTAGCCACATTCGTTGCTGCTCGTGCTAACAATGGCAAGGTGGCAGTGGAGCGTTTGGCTACTTCGAGACCACAAAAGACGTATCATCGCTCTGCAAAGTGAGCTACTCCCTTGCAGTCTACCGGGGGCAAAGGCTAAATTGCTAATATTGTAGGCGCATTTCCTGAGGTCTGCTGGTGTGAGAACTCCAGTCTTTGTCCGTTTCTCGACCGTGACTCTGGGCCGAGAGTATCCCGATTTGGCGAGAAATCCACGGGGCTTTGCGATCAAGTTCTACACTGGTGAGGGAAACTATGACATTGTGGGATTGAACTTTGTAGGTTTCACTTGGGTCTCGGCCCAAGCCAGCGACTAATTGGTGACACAGCCCGTGTTCTTCTGTCGAGATCCTATTCAAGGCCCCGATGTGATTCGCTCCCAGTATCGAAATCCGCAGAACTTCCTCCTGGACCACAACTCCCTGTTCGACCTTCTTGCAAATACTCCAGAAGGGTAAGCGAGGAATGAAGTTCATAAAGACCATTTCACTAACAGGTAACAGAAACCATGCGGGCATGATGTTCTTCAGCGACCATGGCACGCCAGTGGGGTGGCGCAACCAACATGGGTATGGATGTCACACATTCAAATGGTATGCAGAGAGATCATGGTCGGACGATAATACATACTGATAATGTTCACAGGGTTAACAAGGATGGAGAGTTTGTGTACATCAAATACCATTTCATCGCAAACCACGGACAAAAGCAGTTCACTGCCGATGAAGCCCTCCGGTTTGGTGGTGAGGATCCCGACTTCTCCAAGCGTGACCTATGGCGGGCCATTGAAAAGGGCGAAGAGATCACCTGGACGGCCCACGTTCAGATCATGAAGCCAGAGGAAGCCAACCCGGCCAAGCTGGGATTTGATCCATTCGATGTCACCAAGGTGTGGCCCAAAGACCAGTTCCCGGTATGCACTGGCGATTGAAGTTGATCCACGCAAAATAGTCGCTGACAGGGTACATCGACAGTTGCATGAATTCGGCAAGCTGGTCTTAAACAAGAACCCCGAGAACTTCCATCGCGACGTGGAACAAGCCGCCTTCTCTCCAGGGAGCATGGTGCCCGGGATCGAGGACAGCCCGGATCCTCTGCTGCAGTTCCGCATGTTCTTCTATCGAGACGCACAGTATCACCGGATTGGTGTCAATCTGCATCAAGTGCCTGGTACGTATAATGTGCTCGTATAGGGAGTCAATATTAACACAAATAGTAAATTGCCCATTCATGGCCTCCTCCTACTCTTCACTCAACTTCGACGGTCCCTTGCGGGTGGACGCGAACCACGCAATGAATCCCCAATACGCACCCAACAGTTTCGTGCACAAGTTCAGACCGGATACTGCCGAGGCACCTTACCAGCTGGCAGATAACACTGTGGGCCGCAAGTCTCACTTCTACCACGAAGGCAAGTTGTCAGAGTATGACCAACCGCGCGCTCTGTACCAGAAGGTCATGGATGCTCGAGCACGGGAGCATCTTCACTCAAACACTGCCCGTCTGCTCAAGCTCGTTGAGTATCCCGAGATCCAAGTCAAATACCTAGCACAGCTTTACTGCATTGCTCCGGAGTACGCAAAGGGCGTCTATGACCTGCTTCCGGAGCACAAGTTTGATTTCAGCCAAGTGGAGGCACAGTCGCAGGGTGCTGAGCGAGCAGGGAAAGAGGCCAAGTTTATTCCTAGCAACAGTACTGATATTCTGGTCGGCAAGTGTCCAGCAACGGCTGTTTACAACCAGTAATCTTCCCTGTCCTGTCATCGCTTGGTAGGTGACGCGCGTATATACAACCGAGATTGCCAGAGATTTTCAAATATCTGATTGATGATATTTTTACTATCACTATACGCTCAGTTTTTAAATGATACTGTAATTATCAATCGTCCTTGAAACTTGTATTATGCACGAGAGGCAATGTCCATATACATTCCGAGTGATTGGAAGATAGCATGCTGACCACATCGGAGACACAGCATCCAGTCATGTCCCTTAGAAAGCTAGATTGAGCTCTATTTACAGACAGGAGTTGAGCTTGGTTTCGAAACTGCCCAAGATGGATTTGTCTGCGAACATCCATCTGCAAGACCCAGGAGAAAATCATCCACAGCAGCATCATAAGCAGCTCCGCAGTTCGGATCACTGGAATAGCGTCAGAGTAAGCCTTCGCGCAGCAGAATCTCATCCATGTTGACAAACCTTGACCCTCCGCTTGCATTGTTAAAATATGAGCAGATATCATGAGAGAAGCAGTCTTGGGTATATGCATTGCCAAGTGCAGTACCTGTGCATCCTCCTCCACATCGGCCATTGCAGGAATAACTATAATATTTGGAATCGTCAGGTTAGCCAGACAGCGTTCAAACCGCCTTACTAAGGGAAGATCAACTTACTCTCCTGTTCCGGCACTGTTAGTGCCGTAATTGCTCCCTACCACGCCAGCAAAGGAACAGCTCTGCCCGGCACTATTGGTCCAAGTGGCTGTCGCAGTTGCCCCGACTTTCAGACAGGTGACTGATCGTTTGTTGATGGCTAGGTCTGGCGCTGAAGGCATTGCCATAGCCAAAAGAGGCAGTATGGTAAGGATCGTACGAACATTGGCTATCATCCTCATGGTATTGCACCTGTGGGTGGTATATTGCAGTTGTTCCTGGTGGTTTTTAAGGGGCGCCCAAGCCTCTATATAAGTCTTCATATATTTTTTCTCTTTATCCTAATTATTACCCCATATTCTGGCAAGCCACATCCACTTCACAAAGTCACAAGGGCAGGTCTTTGACCGCTCTACTCGTGGATTCATGGAGCTTCCAGGCTTGAATCCCGAGGCATGACAATCCTCGGAGATATTCTCGGAAGATGATCGCTCCTATTCCTACCGCTTTGCTTGAGGATCTGGATATAGTATGATTTGACACCATTTTCGTGATGATGACGACTTAGTAATTTCTAGCCTCGAGAGCACTGTTAGGGTTAACTCTTCCAATCTGGAGCCCTGAGCCGTCGGATTCCCGCGAGAGGCAGACACCTCCCACCTTCAGCAAAACAAATATGTGCTTATCTACATACAAATCCTTTCGAATGATTTGCAGTCAAGTAATGTTCGAGATCGCGCCAAGCGTGAGTCGACAATAACGGTATTGCTAGCTTGATACCCCAAATGGCCAGGGCGAACGAGTCGTCATTCATCTGGCATGACTTACTCTGCCTTTGTCAGATAATAATTGTCCAAAGAAATCTAGGCGATTGAGTCTCCCACTTCGATCACCGAACTTGGGCCGGAGATTCGGGCGTCATTCCTGAGTTGAGACAAGCTACGTTAGCACCATGCGCGTGGAAGCACAACAGGCCACCAACTAGCCCAGCAACCACTCCTTCGCAGTCTAGGGTGTCAAACGTGATCTAGCCCATGCGCTCCCAAGAGCTTTTTCAACCTTCGAATCCGGAGAGACACACGTAATACAACAAGCCCAGATAAACATTGCGAGGTCGCTCGTCAACACTAGAAGACATTCAGTGTATTGTCGGGCTTCACTACCGAACCTGGTAAGACGCCATAGAGCCCCCCCCGCTTCCCCGCATAATCTTTCTGGAAAAGTGCTTGCTGCGTCTTTGACCGAGGAGAAACATAAGTAGTGCCATTCCTCGCCTGATCCCAGGGACAGAAGGAATGGCCAGGTCAGAAGCAACCCGGAGCCCCTCTCATGACGGCACTACTCTCCTCCCTGGGTTTGCAGCCCTTGCTCTAGCCGTCCGTCATTTGGCACCTCGGCAGACGTCCAATACTACTCAATACTATACGGTCCTCGAGGGGGATCGCATCTTCAGCATTGCTGCCAAAGTTGATCGCGGAGTCTGCGACATCGCGCGCGCCAATCGGATGATGGACGCGGAGTACCTCGTCCCTGGATTTTCTCTGATCATCCCAGATACAATCAGCGACCCAGACAATGATACATGTCTCTTGATGGCTCAGAACGCCACCGAACTTTCACTACAACTACAGTTCAGCTGTGGCGACGGCCGCAGACGAAGCCCTGGGGCTATCCTATCCCATCATTACGCTGCCTGTGGGGTGCAGGGCGTTGGTTGGCGATCCATCATCCAACCTTTGATGTCTCTACTGGAGTAGAACAAGTTGACGGTGGAAGGATCTAGGTCCCCTCCTGCGGGCAACTCATGTAACTAGCAGAATTTGTAGTCGGAGAATGGAAGGAAATGACGGGCAATGTATTCTCATGACCCTCGTGCCGAAATATATTCAAATGAACTTCCGCTAAACGACACAACATATCAGGTACAGAAAAACATGGTTCTAATATACAAAATGTGTCTACAACATGTCTATTTACAATCAACTATTTACAGCAAGGACTAAGAGTCCGTATTAGCACAGCTGAAGCTGCTACTGCTGGTATCGTTGTGGATGGCCGTGCCCGATGCATACAAGCCCAAGACGCAGAGGGCCAGGCCGAACAGGGCAATGGAGATGTTGAGGATGGTGAGCAAGATCTTACGAGGGCTGGCGAACCACTGCCCATAGTTCAGGTGAAGCCAGTAGATACCACTGAGCCCATAGCTGAACCAACTGGCGAAGAGCGCGCTCTGTAGCTTACTTAGTACATGTCTCAAGCGACGGGGGTGGTAGAGCTTGACTTACGATCAACCCATTCAGATCACTGAAGACAGGAATAGCCTCGGCAATGACCCACGCGACAATCCAGCAAGTCAGACCGAGACCGATCCAGATTCCGACAGAGCGCTTGCCTCGGCTGTGGATCAGATCCGACTTGTGGCAGAGACGGAAATAAATGTACTTGAGGCCGACGTGACCATTGACCACACCAGCTCCAACAATCTAATGGCCAGTTAGCATGCATGCTCCGATAGCAGAGGACAAAAGCTGTAGGGACGCACAGTAGGAATGGCAATGCCAAAAGCGACCTTCTTCATCAAGGGTCCTGCAGAAATCAGAGCAGGTGATTCTACGCCTTTGCCAACAAAGTAGTAAATCACCACGGCAGCAGTGAGATACAAGCAGATCTCAAAGGATTGAAGCATGAACAGTGACTTCTTGAAATCCTTGGGGGTTTCCATTTCAGCGATCAGGCCAAAGAAGGCCACGTGGGCGCAGTATGCAAAAACAATGTTGGACACAGCCTGGAACCCGGTGTAGAGAGTGGTGTCGACTGTCGCCTCGATGGTACGGCCGGGGTGATCTTGCACGCCAACAGAGATCATGGTAATCATGACGGCGGCGAAAATGCTGAGGAATGCTGCAAGAGATCAATCAGTACCAATTGAAATAACACCCAGTCCCGGTCCAAAGGGACCTCAATGGACTACTCACATGCAAATGAAATCCACGTCAGCCCCTTCATCGTCCGGGGGATGGAGAGGACCATTGAGACGACCATGCCAACTACACTAAAGACAATCGAGCAGGTGCCATGGTCGGTGATAGTGTTCATCATGACCCGAAAGGTCAAGATATGGCTTCCCATGACGAAGATAAAGAACAAGAATTGACCAAGACCGAAGAGCTCCCGGCCAAAGGGTCCCATCAGGATCTCTCCTGCATCCGCGAGATTCTGAATGTGAGGATATCTTTCTCTAAACAACCCGATGTTGTAGCCGGTGTATGTTGCAAGGAGGCCAAGACCGACAATCAAGATGACAGCCCTGAAAGAATGTCAGTGACAAGAACAATTACACCTTTGCCATGAAAGGACTTACGGCACAAGACCCAGGGTAGCCACAGCAGCTGGCAGGGACAACACACCGAGCGACACGGACTCGCAGATCATGACTATTGAGAACAATGTTAGAGGCCGGAATTACGATCACATCAAGGAAGCCTCGTACGCAAGCCGCATTGCCTAGATCAACAACAAGCATGGTCAGCAAAGAACTGAGCCCACTGGTGAGTGGTCCAACACATACCACCACTTCAACGTCTTATACTTGATCTCTGCGGATTCCTCGTTTCCGAAGGCATCTGCAATCTGGCCAGTCTTGAACTGGCCCTCCTCCTCATAGTCCGAGGTGTATTTGGTCTCTTCGACTTTCTCGTTCCTGTATGCAGGAGGGCTGATGTTGATGGCCTCCATGATGGTGTTTCGATTCGCTCACTAGCAAGAGAGATCTGGGGGGCTAGTGAGACCGGCAAAGACGCGACAAGCTTCAGAAAGTGAGGGAATGCAGCTGGGGCGGCTCGTCTTGCTGATATACGAGTCGATGATTAAGTTTTCAAGACTGAGGTGCCGATCCACCCCGTTGAGAGGCGAAGTTCTCCGGTATGCTCCATACTTCTGTTTCTCTATACATAATGAAAATTGAGAAAGACCCACTGAAAAGCTTGGCTTCGGAGTCGGGCAACAAGTCCCATTCGTCCAAAATATCATTGGATGGATCTTCTCCGTGCAAAATTGGCCACTCGGACCGATATCGGCTACCCGTCGTCCATCGACTCTGGAATGATTCTGGAATCTGGAGGAAACCGGTGACCGAGTTGGAGACTCCATGTTCATTGCTTAAGAGTAAAGACTATTTATCATCTGTGGTTTGTGCGTCCAGGGTCATGTTTCCTTTTCTCAACTGTTGCCTAGCCTTAAGGTCTTTAGAGTTTGACCGATGTAACACTAAAGTGTCGATGATGGACAGGATTCTTAGGCTGTTCCAGAATACGATTGGAAAACTTTAGATATCTTTCTTTGCCCCTGCCACCTGATCTTGATTACAGAGCAGAGGGCTTTATAACATATCAACTTGTCCAGTCCATTGGAGATGTGTCTGTTAGATGGCCTGCTACACGGCCCAAGTCAAGGAATGTATTCGACTCGTGAGCGACAATGATCCGTTGAATGACGGAATGGCATTTCGCCGAGTTGCGGGTGTCTTGGCTGGTCTGGGCGACAAGGAGGGCGCGGTCTCAATGTGGCATCAGAGTTATTCGCTCGCTAAATATGACAATGACAGCAATGGCGAGGATGAGGACTGGGTCGAGCGGTCCATCATTTGCAGGGCATGTCATATGTCCGTCGAGATCAGCAATATTCGATTTGCCGATATTGTCATAACGTCATACTCTGTGCGACGTGTTTGCGGCTGCGGAGGAGCGGTAGTCTTGCAGTCAATATCTGCAGTCAAAAGCATGACTGGATTCTGCTTTCTCCTCTACCACAGAGCCTTGAAAAACGAGGTGAAGGGCAGAAGGATATGGTGTTTGTGGAGGATCATTGGATCAGGCTCGACGAGCTCAAACGGCAATTGATGCTGAAATGGGGTATTAAATAAAGAGTGCCATCGCATCAAAAACAATGATATCGCTCTAGCTTTGGCCTAGGCTAATTCTCTAACGTTACAAATAGTCGGCGACGGAGTGCACAGAATCCCCATACAAAATACAGTTGCCCATGAAGCTAGCTTGCTGTTGTGGCATTCATCTAGTATGAGGAATACAAAGCTATTCAGACATGAGAAGCATTAGAATTCAGGAAATCCCCGATATTCATGAGCTGACATCGTTCAGCGCCCATTTTACCATTCGAAGAACTTAACGTGAATTGTATACCTTGAGATTGCTGTCATCCACGTCGTCGCCCTTAAGGTACTGTCCATAAGGTACAGCCGCATCCTTATCAATCCATGCTTGCCAGATTCCCCCCTGATCAACGGGAGGAATCATCCCGTTAACTCTCCAGTTGTCCGCAGGATGTTCGTAGACGTTATATTCCCATTTGATCCCTTTAGGAGCGAGAATCTGTCACTTGCAGTCGGCGTCAACTCCGGAGTAAATGATCTTACCCCATCTTTGTTCTTCAGTAAAAGTCCAGTCGATCACTAATCAGTCTAACCCGAGGCTTCATTCCAAGAAACTCACCGAGGAAGTATAACCTCGTTGTTGATTATGTTGTCAATTGAGCTCCGCAACATATCTGACGCCAGCTTAAAACCAGAGTGGGAGTAGCAGAGAACCTTCCTGTATGCCGTCAATCGCTATACTGCTTCCAATCGGTTGGTTCCCTGCGATCAAACTTATCCAAATGACATCGATACTTCGCGCAGACGTCTAGTTTCCTCTATTTTTTTATCGTGTACTCTTATTCACGGAGAATCTGAAGCAGTTCTAGTTGACACGCCTATATTGATTCAGCAGACTGAAGAGCTGATCAAACGGATTGAACAAACCGCCCCAGGGAAGTGACTAAGATTTATCTATATCACTCATGGTCATGGAGATCATTGGTTCGGCCTCCCCCTTCTCTGAAACTGTTTTCCTGAAGCTCGCGCAATCGCTACTCCAGCTGCTGTAGCTCACGCAAAAACACAACTTGCGCCGGAATCAAGTCTATCAGCCTTGGGAACCGCCTGAAGCTTGGCCTCACAATACATTTCAGGTAGAAGGCCACGAGTTTCGCATAATCAAGGTGGGGCACACTGATACATATGACACTACGATCTTGCATGTACCAGCTATCCACCTTGTGGTGGCTGGCGATGTTGTATACGGAGACGTTCACCAATTTTTCGGCGAGGCAAACACGACTGAAAAGCGGCAGGAGTGGGTTCGTGCCCTGGACAAAATTGAGTCTCTCAATCCCCATACAGTGGTGGCTGGGCACAAGAGAGCAAGGACTATCGATGGCGTCTTCAACGTTCAAACGACCAGAGACTACATCCTGGCATTCGAAGAGGCCGCCCGGGTCGCGTTAAACCCAGAGGAACTGTTTGTCAGGATCAAAGAGCTCTACCCAACAAGAATCAATCCACATGCCATTCTCGCAGGAGCAATGGCCGCGTTTGGAAGAAAAGCTTATGCATTTGAGAAGATATCTTAACAAGATCATTCTAGCTGCGTTACTCCTTTAGAGCTCCAAAAGAAATAATATAAATTGAATAGTATGGATAATTCATATAACGAGTCAGCATGTATCTGTATCAGCTCCTTCTCATGATCTCATCTGCTTAGGAAAATGGCGGTATATTAAGAAGAGACATGCTTATATGTCTCCAGGCCGAGATTAATGTCACCCATGGATTTTCAACTCAACTATATCAGCTCTGAGGGGGCGAGGGCTACTTTGGGTAACCTAAGTGACCCCTTGGAGCACTGTTGTTTAAACATCCTAAATCTGCGCTGTAGACTAGTCTTAACACAACTCTAAAGATTACAAATTACATTTAATAACCTCCTTTGAATATAGACAGTGTGATAACTGGATAAATGACGGCTAAGGACAAGCCAGAGCAATACGAGTTTACTCATACTGGAAATGAACTCGACATGAATTCATCATACAGAAAACCCAGACCTTCCGGAACCTGTGCATCTGGATCAGCATGGATCCATGTAGAATAATATTTTTTGTAACCCACCATAGAAGGAAGGAGGCCAGCAAAGCCATACGGCGGACCAGGGCACCCGATGTAGTCCAGCAGCTACTCTCTTGCAGATAGTTAGCGCGCCTAGCAATCAGCTACAGGCAATGGCCCGTCAAGCTAGAAAGGGACTCCTGGCTTGAATATGAAAGTGAGGCCTCCGCAGCCTCGATCCAGCGGACTGCCAGGCTATGGATGGACTTGAATCCGCAGTCGTCGATGGGCATACCTGGCCACATACTCGCCCCGGCGGCCAGCACCAGGAGCAGTTGCACTACAAATGCGATGGAAGTGCATGACAGCTGCTCCCAGTGTTTATTATACTGCGTGATGAATGTCGGGATATGGAGTACGCGATGAGTGATCTCGCACCGGTCAATGTATGGCTCGCCTGGGAACCAGCTGTCTCAGAGACAGCTCCTCCTCTGCCCTTGGAACCAGTGGTAGAGATCGCTGTCGTCCATTAGCCAGACAGAATATCTTGTCCTGGAGCCTGTTGATGGCCGGATTCTGTGCCTTGATCCAGGCGATGAATGGTTGAAAGTTTGGTGAACTAACACCATCAAAGGCTGTCACTCGCAGGTAGAGAGTATCCTATCCCAGAGCTTATGTTGAGGGAATGGCTCGGGTGATGGAGGTGTGGTTTGCTCATGGGTGGTTGTCGGATACTGTGGAGGCTGACAGGCTGTAGAGCGGATGACTGCAAAGCATTGACAATAGACTGGTGGTGGGTTGGCACTAAGTATTACCTCATAAGTTCATAACCTAAAATAAGCTTCATTAGGGTGGAAGTGTGGACCCCTGAGGTTAAGATGAAAAAGTAGGGCGGAGATATATATGTCTACGGCTATTGTATGAAATACCCAGTTCCTTTCTTGTTTTCTTCGGACTTGTCTCTTTTTGCTGCCTTAAAAGGCACAATCCTAGCTCTCAATTTCAGCCAGCTCAGAATCGACTAATCCCTTATCAAAACCATGGTCGCGTAAAAATGCAATAAAACATAATAACCAGAGAATTTGGCGTGACAAGTTGTGACGCTTAAGATTTGTAATGATGAGGTCTACAGCCCTCAGTTAGCTGTAACTTCATAGGATAGTTGCATGTCTGAAAAGTTCCACTGTCTAGGAACTTTCATGACCAAATAATGGTTCAATGGTACTTAACCAGTCTAGAACCAGGTCGAGGCCAAGCGCCCCAGGGACATTTTTGAATGGTTAATGACGCGTATGACATCAAGGTGAGATGAGATTCACAGTGCCAACTCACATTGGGCTGAGATAACTAGTGATGTAGACACAGAGCCTGATAAATAATATGGTCCCCTCATTGCGGTTTTCGCACCGAGTTCAGCGGATCAAAACTCAACTATCAAAACAAAGAGATAGATCAGTTATCAAAAGAAAATCCCCTCGATCTGATATTCTCGGTGGAAATACACAATGTCTGCCTCGATCACCACACACGTCAGCAATTACGGGGAGAAATATGGCGACCCAAGCCATACAATGAAAGCCTTGACATGGCAAGGGACGGGTAGAGTTAAAGTTGGTCAGTGATCTTCATTTCATTTCGAGCATCTCAAATAATTCGAGCCTCCTGCTTACGTGGTTTGTTATAGTGGAGACGGCCAGCCCGAAGATCATTGATCCAGGCGATGTCATACTTCAGGTGACGGGCAGCACCATTTGTGGGAGTGACCTACACCTGCTCCATGGTATGTCGTGGCTCTGTAAGAGACAATGAAGTGTCACTGGATCTGCTGATGCGCTATCTATTTTCAACATGCAGGGGCCATCCCGGAGCTCCAGAAAGGTGATATCCTCGGCCATGAGTTCTGCGGTATTGTCGTTAGTGTGGGCCCGGATGTTAAGAAGGTTAAAGTGGGCAATCGCGCTGTCGCGTCGTTCCAAATTGCCTGTGGGGAGTGTTATTACTGCAAGCAGGGGTTGGCCACAATGTGTGAGCGGACGAATACAGGCGAGAGTGCCACGAAGCTATATGGACGTAAAACATCCGGTGTGTTTCCTAAAACAACCATGGTGATCTTGGTAAGGTTATTATACTAAGGTCTGTCTTAGGCTTCTTTGGATACTCCCACTTCACTGGCGGCTTTGCTGGTGGGCAGGCGGAATATGTTCGCGTCCCTTATGGTGATGTGAACCTCCTTCACCTGCCTGATAACATTCCTGATGAAAAAGGACTCTATCTTTCTGATGTGCTGGGGACATCTTGGAATGCCGTTGTTGACACTGGGGTCAAGGAGGGTGACACCGTGGCAATCTGGGGAGCTGGCCCAGTTGGACAAATGGCAGCTGAATTCAGCTTCTTCCATGGTGCTAAGAGGGTTATTCTCATTGACGGCGGCCAGGGAAAATGGCGACTAGACTTTGTCAAGAAGGTTTTACCCAAGCTCGAGACAATTGACTTTACGAACCTCCCAACGGGTGAATCTGTTGCCTTCACTCTAAAGAAAATGTGCGACGGCCGCGGACCTGATGTGGCAATTGAGTGTGCTGCTGGTGAGTATTCAAAAGGATGGGCCCATTACTTTCAGAGATTACTGGGCATGGAAACGGATACATCTGAACTGGTCAATGAGATGCTTACCTCTGTCCGTGGGTTTGGACGCTGTGGTATCACGGGCGTATATGCTGGTTATGTATGCGGTACCTTTCCTATGGTGAAACAATTCCACTGACGTTGCAATGCAGTGTAATCACTTCAACATCGGTGCCTTAATGGAGACTGGGGTCAAGCTTTCGGGCAACGGACAAGCTCCTGTGCAAAAATACTGGAAAGAGCTCTTGAAGTATGTTCAAGAGGACAAGATCCACCCACTGCATATGGTCACCCACCGGCTCAGGCTCGAGGACATGGAGAAAGTCTATGATTTATTTGATAAGCGTGAGCCGGGTATGCAGAAGGTTTTCATCCAGACAAGGTTTTCTGCACCTCCATCACCAGGAGCACCAGCGTTAACACTTATCTGAGCATTACTTTGTTTTTCAAAGTTTACTAACAAGATTGGATGTCTTACATGGGGTTTACACAACTGTGAAATTGAGATTGTTTAAAAATTGTTTAAAAATCCTCCTCCAGGACCAGTGACCAACCCTCTACCGCACTCCTGGAACTACTCTTTTGAATTCCTGGCAGAATCAATGTATCTTGAGCACCTCTGATAAACTGCTACCCTTTAAGACAGACACTGGGCATAATAATTTGCGTACTGACTATAAAGAGTGGTGGAAGCATGATCATTGAGAGCCTTATGAAATACAGTGTGATTAGAATGAGTGACTACTGCTAGTAGGCCTTAAACAGCTGGTACAGCACGCTCACCCCTGCTGCATAATTTAAGCCTCATGCAGAGACAGAGCCAAGTCCTGATCAATGACCTTTCCGCCTTCCACTCGCACCTTTTCGATAGGCTGAAACACGAAGAAAACACGTAAAACACCCGAATTGTCGTTCTTTTCAGTCAAATTCCGCCAAGAATGAGCTGTACCTCGCTGAACAAACACATCGCCCTTTTTCAATATTTTTTTCTCGCCGGAATCAAGGACCAGTTCCGTCGTGCCGTCTATTACAACACCATAGTCGAGAGTTGCTGTTCGGTGCATCGGGACTGCCGAACCCGCTGGTACCTCTATAATTGTACAGGAAGTGCCGTTGGGCGGATTCAAAGGCATTGGCTGCGAGAGCTGGGACTGATAGTGCTTAATGTCGAGATTGGCTTTGGACTCCGGGGTTGTAGAACTTGGAGGGGAGAGCCCTTGCACTGGGAATGTATTTGTATTGTAGGCCAGAGCATAGTCTGTCGGTGCGGGCTTGCCTGGAGGAACCGGGAATCCAGTAAATGATAGCTGCTCACTAACCGCATCACTAAAGATAGCTCGGCCGCTTGGATCATGGGTTGTTATGATCCGACGAAGCAGCTTATGCTGTCTTTGTCCAGTTGACATGTTGAAGCCAAAATCAAGAAGAGGGCTGGTAGTTGGAGTATCATTCAAACATCTCTTGCATTAAGACTGAGACATCAGCAATGTTTGATACTTATATCATTAGTTTCATGATGTAAGGCATATGACTCAAATGGTAGGTCATTGTAGAGTCAACAAGTCAATGATAGATCAATGTTCTCATCATATGGATTCATGGTCACTTTCAATGACAGTTCTGGAATAGACCTATGGCGCAAAATTAGGAATAATGAACCATCGATCTTTACCATGGGCAGACCTAAGGAATGCTTTTCCCGCATAATGGCCGCCCCTATCATCTTAAAGTCATTATAGCCCCAACCAAAATATTAATTCATGTACATATCATGGACGAAAATGTGCCAATTGTGACGTTAGGTAATGTGATGCCTATCCCTCAAGGGGGTGTGGACCATTGGTCATCCAAGGGGTTTAGGGTGCAGACAGGGTCAGAATGCTGGTTAGTTGATTATCAGAATGGTTATCTAGAAGATACTGGCAGCTTGGGTCGCCGTGTCTCTCTGATTCCCCGGTGATGGAGACATACTGGTTCGTTGAACGAATCAACTCGGCATCCTGCACGGTCAGGTAAGAGGCGTGAGAAAAGACAACCGGAATAGAGGAGTTCAAAAAGTTGTACTGATTGACCAATCAAGGACTATTTGCATCTGTAAAATTCACTGTTAGTAGTTGCAGGGAAAGGGTGGAATCACTGGTCTTCTTTTAACAGGGTTTCTTGTTGTCATAGGGCGGAGGATATTGGTGATAACAGGAGAAGGTTAGGTTCCATGCAACTCTAAGGACCGCCATGGTAGTGCATTGTGAATGCAGAAACATTTTGTGACCTGAAATTAGTCAGTTCTGCCTATTCTCAGCGGACGGCGACCTCTTACAGCTAGGGAGGTGATCTGCTCGATCTGGGCGGCATCTTCGATTGCAAAGTTATCATAAGCAATCCCAAGAGAAACAATGCCGCTCTTCGGCCATGGGCCATGCTGAGCAAGGTGGAGAAAATCAGTAATCAGCTCTTCTCGAGTATAATTAGAGACCCAGGTTGCGTCTCTGAGATTATGAAAGGCATAGCACCACCACGTTCTAGCTCTGCTATCCACAGAAGCTTGAAGGCCAGCCAGGGCAGTCTCATTGGACCAAGTATGGTGCGCATGGTCCAGGATGGAAGTCACCTTGCTGTTAAGGGACTTGTATAGGCCTGTTAACTGGCCCAAATACACGTCCTCCGCAGTGAAAATATTCTTAGCTAGTGAAAACTCATCCTATCACACAAAGTCCTCCGCCAAACTAGTGTTTGAACCTAAGGTTTTGAAGGCAGCCTGCCAGACATGTCAATGAGTGTCCACAAATCCTGGTGTGATAATCTTGTCTTCGGATGGTATAACAGTCGTATCAGCTGGGAGTTAGACACATTCTCATGCAGGAATGATTGCTGTAACTATATTTCCTGTGATAAGCATAGAGGCATTATGAATTAGTCCCCTCAGTAAACATATTATGAGCTTATTGTGTATGACATTGCATCCTACAATGGATGTTTGATGCGCCAACTTCATCCAGCTGTGGCTGACCTCTGCGAATCATAGATATATATTTTTCCGCTATGGTAGTCAGATCCAAAAGAAGAGCCGGTTCGCGACATCATAGAGCTGAGAGTGAAAGCAACCAAATTATGCACTGTATGATCATATTTGACTAATAAAAATAAAGATAAAAGAATTCAAAGTAAAGGAATATGTGAAATGGGGATCTACCATTGCAAGATACTTTCCTCAGCCATAAGCTATTATGCATTCAATGGTCTTGTGCTAGATTCATCTCACCTAAAAAGTCACAACAGAATATATTCATACCGAATCCTCTTACACTGTTCAACCTGCAAGGTTAGATGACTCCCACAATATCCCCACATACCCTCATTCAAGAAGACAATTTTTGTAGGTATGGCTGCCACACAGAGGCATTAACATCCCATACTACAGGTACTATGAGGATATAACCCACCCTATTGCCTTATTTACAGCGTATGTACAGCAGAGCACACCTGTTTTGTTGGCCCTCTCCGAGATGACTTTCCTCATATTGGAATACTGTGCTATCTAGGCTAAACCCATTATGGTGTCGATTGTTGGACAGACGGATAAGCTTTAGATGAGCCACGCTAACCCTTCAGATCCCTCATTACCGACAGGAACTCCGAACACAGAACCCAAGGCTGTGTGTTTATTAATTGAATACAATAGGTCGAGTCCAGATGGCCCCTCGTGGCACGTGCATTGTTTCGATTCAGTTGTGAATGTGCGATTTTCTTATCCCAAATCTGCCAGTTCTCGGTATATGCCTGGACATCTTAGTCCCGATCTCCTTCACAACTCCACACAGGATCCAGATTTAGCCGTTTTGGGTGAACAGAGTCTCCACTGGAGTTGAAGGATGGCCAATCTCCGACTTGGCAGCTATGACACAGGTTTAGGCGAAAAGGGGGACGAAGATGGAGAGAGAAAATTAGTTACTCATACCGGGACGGTTGGTATAACATGCTAGCTAAGATGGACAACAATGCTCTAAGTTATATGGTTCAGGCAGTCATTGTATGGCCGCACTCTGAGAAGTATTTGTTCTAGGAGTCGACAATATCCCTTCAGGAGGAAGTTTCCAAAGACATACACTAGTGTGGGCCCTGTGACAGATAAACTAACATGTGTTCCTGAATCGACTGCTGTTGTTTGACAATCTCGCGATAGAAAGCATAATAGATTAAAATTTGAAACACACTAGCCAAGGGCCAAGCTCAGGCAATGAGACCCTTTATCCGGTTCAAGCAGCAAGTAGCCATGCGGTAATTTCGATATTTGTGCATAGTCAATGATAAGCAACAACATTTATATAGATAGGTTTCCGCTGAACTGGCAGAGATTGCCAGAGTAGCAGGAATGAATCGGTCAATCAACGGCATTCAGCATTGCCTTTGTTTCTTTTTTAGTCAGTTGCACGCTTCCTTCCGTTGGTATCCAGTTCAGAATCCCTCCCGAGTAAGAATCAGATCAGTATCTATACATTGCAGAGGTTAATTAGGCTCAGGCTGTTTCAAGCAAGCGGGGCTTGAGACTTAATCTGGACGTTGCCCGAGACTACTCTGCACCGGTCCGGTCATTCAACCCCAAATTCCCCATGTCTCAGCCTCTATCGAACCCAAAATACGAGGAACATTCTCAATTGACCCTCGCTGGAAACTCAACGTTCGCTCATGTAGTAGCTTCAGTGGATGCCAGAGCTACTAGCATGCACCTGTCATTCATCTCCCGTCCCACTTAAACGCGGAAATTCAGAGACTTGAGTTCTATCTCTAGCTGGGAAAGCCAAGCCAGGATCGCAGATGTATACGTATAGTCTTGTCCAATCTTGAGATCTTTTGAGCGATTTGTTTGCATCTTTGTTTCCTGCTCTTTTTCTTTTTTGGCTGTACAAATTGAGCATTTCCGCAACATCCATCAGTTGCCATTGAGCTCCGAGCTATAAAGCTGATCTCTCCCTGTTGTCCCTTTCTCGTGCTGTTCACCCCTCTACCCTTCTGTACAACAAGTCGCGCCAAACATGCATTGGAAAACCGCTATTGCATGCTTAGCAGGTCTAGGTACAGTGGTGGATGCTGCTATTAATGGTCAATTCGAGCTCGGGAGCTGTCCAGTTGGCTATGTCCTGACTACGTACCTTGTTACTGTTACGGAAAGTTCAACCTCGACGGTCAACTCTTGGAAGGCCGGACCGTCTACAGCCATCAGTCGGCCAGCTATTCCTACCTGGAATGGGTCTTCGACGATTTCTTCGTGCACGACCAGCTTTGAGGCAGCACAGACGGATGGTACCGAATCTGCACCCTTGAGCTCGCCCAATCTAGCATCTTCTCCCGCAGAGAAATCACGGACTACGACCACCGTTGTTTCCGATACCATGTCCACCAGTGTTTTCGATGCTACGACCACCAGTGTTTCCGATGCCACTATCACCTCGACGCCCTCTCTGGTTGAACTGTCGCAGACATCGTCTTCGTCTCTGCAAAGTTTACCGAAGCCGCTGGTCGGTGGCGTCGTCAGCGGACAAGCTACTTCCTATGACGGTGGCGACGTGGATGGAACATGCATGTTTTCGACCGCCGACTACACACTCCCAGCCGGGATATATGGTGCGGCCCTGTCCGTGGACAACTGGGACAGTGCCGCTTGGTGTGGTGCATGCCTTTCTGTTGTTGGTCCAAGTGGCAACTCAGTCAAAATCATGGTGAGTGGAGAAAAGTCTCGGTGCAATTGATATCCGTTGTTGAATTGATTCTGACTATCTGGGTTCCCTTTCTATTGCTTGCCTCAGATTGTCAACCAATGTCCTGGAACTTGTGGATTGAACAATCTTGATTTGCTCCCCAACGGCTTCCAACAACTGGCAGATCTCAAAGTCGGCCGAATTGGAGTGGAGTGGGAGATCGTCAAGTGCGACATCAGCAGTCCGCTGTTCCTAAAAACCAAAACTGGCTCCTCGAAATACTGGTTCAGTATCCAAGTCGTCAACTCGAACGTCCCCATTAAATCGCTCGAGGTTAGTACCGATGGTGGACAAACGTGGCAGTCTACGATCCGCAAAGACTACAACTTCTTCGAAAACCCTAGCGGCTTTGGGGTGGATTCTGTTGATGTTCGTATAACCAGCGTTACGGGTGAGACGATCATAGTCAACAATGTCAACAGCGCCTCGGAGACCCGCACAGATGCCACCTCCAACTTTAACTAAATACAGAAAGATTTATATAACTCGTTCCTCTGCCTGGTAGATTACATATCAGGCCTGTCGTAAGGGGGTATACACGAATACTCTCTTGCTATTAGCACAGAGGACATTGCTTCCCTGGACCTTTTTCCTCTCTTCATTCTACCTACCTTCTACAAGGCTTTTTCTTCTCTATTATAGAATAATTCTAGATCTTGGACTCGAACAATATGATTTAAATTTCAAAAAAACAGTTACTGTAGACTTCTGCTCTTTTGCGAGTAAAGCATCATTGACCGACCCAGGAAAAAGGAAAGGACTATCTCGATCTTGTCTAACAAAATTACTATAATTCGAACCTTCATTCCTCTAACTCCTATAAAGACAAACGACTAAAGTCCTAAGGTAGGTGTGACTGAGCTGCTAGGCGAGGAATGGTCTCAACAATCGTTGGCTTGCAGAAAGTGGGTGCTGTGACGGGCGTAGGCAGTATTGTTTTCAACTGGCAATCCTATATTAACGAATATCGCAAACTTGGAGAGAGAAATAGGAAGATACATATCCCTCTCCTTCTTATATACATGTTCCTAAGCTTCCACTGGGTTCCAACCTCTTCCTGATGGTTCTTCTAGAATGTTCTATGGTTGAGGGCATGGCCGACAACCACAGCCCAGGCCGTAGCCTGTGACAGGTGCTCAGCTTGGAGCTAATATCTAAGATCAGTGCATAGGTACGCTAGAGATAGGAGAGTCTATCTCACGGACGTTAAACGGTTTGGACTTGCATAAAAATGCAAGAGCCGTAAAGTATAAACCGTATCCAAAGGCAACGGTGGATCGGTTCGACCGTGGAACGATGCGCTGGACCTCGCCTCATATGCCAGAGTTCAGGCACTTGATGAGTCGATGTCGGTCTAAGACAGATTATCCCAGGCTGGCACCCTATCCCACAAGGGGTTGGGAATTGTACTAGAGTTCCGTTAGGGTGTTGACTATATTAGGTATAGTAGCTGTCTTGGCATGGTACAGTTCCGTGCTTCTATCCCACAAGCCATGGGGCGATATGGTCTTATCGCCATAAGGGTTGAAATCAGTGTGTATTCTGATTGGTTAAAATAATCCTTGGCGGTGCTGGGTAGAATTAGTTTCAGCGCTCATCGCTATACAATTCCATGGGAGTATTATATTGGAAATTTTATAGGTGATATTTCTAGATCTTATAAGTAACTAGACGAAATTTAAAGATGATCCACCATCAAATAAAGGCGTGGTGTAGGGTTAAAATTAAATAATAATATGCATGGTTTTCATGGGGTGCAGCCCAACCATACAAAGTATCATCCATCAGATTCAGGGGTAAAGATGTTTCCTTATCTCATTAATTCATCGATATTCATCGACATTGATATTCATTAATAACCATCATGGAAAATCAATTATTTCATCATGTGCCTACCCTAGGCATACTTATCTGCCATCAATGCAAGCATGGGGTGCGACCTGCAGAGGTGGAACAGCATCTAAAGAAGAAGCACTATCTTAAGCATGTAGTGGCTCAACAGATCACCCAGGCAGTGTCTCAATGGCATGATATTCACCATGATAGCAGTGCCATCCAGATCCCACATG